GGATCCGCAATTGCGCAGGCTTGGGTGTTTATGTCAGACATGATTGACAATTATAATAAAATTTAATTTATTATAATCTCGTAGCCTTATTTTAATTATATTTTGGAGGTTATTAATTGACTTGATTATTGTTTTGTGTTAGGAAGTAAAATAGTAAAATATGACTATTATGTACTCTTACGAGCTTTTTTACGGAGTTGAAGTTAAAAAGAAGCTGAGAAGATTTCATCAAATCAATACTATTAGATTGCAAAATCTTGACAGCTTGATTTCACTGCAAAAGATTTGGATAAATGTTGAAGACTTTTACCAACTTGAAGACTTTAACCACTAAATCTTTATTTAGATTGGTAAAAGAATCATGGATTAACAACCTGCAGATTTGGGAATCATGGATCAACTAATGTAATTAGTTTCTTCCTTAACAAACCGTAATAAAAATGTAGGGTGAATGTTACTTTGTTTCAACTATCATAACTGACATTTTTAATAAGATTGGTGCAGCTCTATTTAACTAACGTCAATTTTGTAAGCCTTTGAAGTCTAAATGAACCAGTTGAATCTACAAAGTCACATTTTCATTCAGCAAGAGCCAGCTTTACTTATAAGAGTACTGGAAGAAATTTTGGAAAGTTAAACTATTATCGGCCAAAATATTGTAGCAGATGCAATAAGTAGCTAGAAACCATGGAAAACCTTCTTCTGGAATGTGATTATGTGAATGTTCACAGTAGGTTTGGAAATCTTCTCCCTTCAAGTTTGGAAAATCTGTTGTAGCAAAACTTTGTTGTAAATATTAATTTATACATTTTCTGATCTTGACAGTTGGCACATTAAAGGATTGAAATATGAACACCATAAAGAAGAATAAAAATAATATGTCTATGTGATCGTCACCAGTGAATGAAATCATTTCTATATGATGCTGTAAACTTTCAGCTATTTTTTAAAAAATAAAATAGAGACAAGGAGAGAACGCTACATGGCCCGAAAAGTACAAAAAAAATTTTCAAAATGAAAGCTTTTTGACTCCAAAACAAATTGCCGAATAATCTTGGAATTCAAACATTGTTTCAATATTTACCATCAGGTCTTCTTGATAACCAAAATTAATTTAATATTGTGTGGTCAAAAACTTTATTTTAATACCAAAACTTTTATATGGTATGAATAAATAACAACATCACTCACTTTTTATGGTAGTTGCTATAGCGTAACATTTTCATATCTTGATGTCTTCTTGGGTGATTTCCTGCTTCCACCAAAGCCACTACTGCATGTCGATAGTGGTAATAACTGATGATTAATGTAGCGGAATTTGAAATTGGAGTTGATTGTCTAGAAATTACTCAATGTTCTTCCCGAGAACCTAATTCACAAAAGGAAAAATAAATTATTTAATTGAGATTGTGGGCGAAGAAATATATTTTTAATTGTTATAAATGTAAGAAAACAACAATCACAATCCACATATTAAGCACCTTACTCTGGGAAATTCTTGTCCTGAATCTTGGGTTTGACATCATCATAGGGGGTTACTGCTATCAAATTCGAGAATGATGATGACCTGCTTCTATCTTGGGAGAAAAGGGCGACACTTTGATGAAGAATGGAGAAGATGGCATAATTGTCATCGTATTTGATTAAAACTAAACCAAAAAAAAAAATTTGATTTAGTTTCTTAATTATTGTTATAAAATTGAAGAAAAAATTTGAAGGATTAGAAGATTCGACGAAGAATTGGTTTTGGATATAATCAAAACTGAAGAAAAAGGATTTAATGGAGAACGTGGTTTCTACTGAGCTAAGTTCTAGTTTTTGTATTGAATTAATCTCATACGTAACTAAACAAAAAAAAAAAAAAACTGATTCAATTTTATTTTTATTTTTATTTTTTTTGGAAAAAAAAAATTGATTCAGTTTTCTTATATAATTTTGCCAGACTTTTAAGGATAACTTTACATTTGGAATTTAGGCTAAAATTTAAGGAGAGTTTGACATTTGAAATTTTGGGTTAAAAGTGGTTTTTGTTATAATGGGATTAATTAAAGATAGATAGATTATAAAAAGGTCTTCAATAAGGTGAATGTCTTAAAAAAAAAAGTCTATTATGACATCAACATTTAAATGTCATAACAAACGTGTCACAATAACTACTTTTTCTTGTAGTGAATACTTCTATTTTTTCCACAATTAATGCTATGTATTTAAAATTTATAGACGTGTTCAATTCATGTATTTCAATTTCTTAGTACCCGTTTTACTTCAGATTATGTGATTCTAGCAATGTTTCCCGGGGTGGAGAAAACCCATGTTTTCTCGTCCAATACAAAATATTTGGCAATTCAAGAAGTTAATGGGCTGATACGCTCCATACCAACATAATATCAATGCAAACAAATGTTATCCATTCAGAAATGCAAACAACAGCATCCCTTGATTAAAGGAATCTCACAATATAATCTCACTAATTATTTTCTTTATCAAGCTATTTTATCGGTATTTAATTTGGCACGTTCATTTTGAAACATAGATCCGTGCCTATAAGAATGATCATTGAACAAACTTTAAACCTCTCATCCAAACAGAGATTTTGAAAAGAAAGAAAAAAAAAAGAAAAAAAAAAGCAAAAGTATAGAAAGACATATAGAAAGAAAGGTGTAACCACGCCAAAACCATGGCAGTGAACGACATTTCTTTCTCAAAGGTTTTCTTACCCATCTCCATGGTCCTCCTTTTTTTGGTCGTCATCAATGGATTAACGGCGGCTGTCGCCGCGCACAAGAGCCCTTTCTGCTTCAGCGCCTCACCCGGTGACGAGTCAGAATTAAACCTAGGTCTATTGGGTGTAGGATTAGGTTACTTGGAGATTAAGTCACTGACTAAACTTATTCCGCTAGGGTTTCAGGAAACAGGTAACATCACCTCTATATAAAGAGGTGGTGCCTCTCCCATAATTCATATCTTCTACCTATCTTCTACACCTTCTACACACGATACACATTTCTCTCTCTCTATTATCTCTATTCCTTTATTGACTTAAGCATCGGAGAGCCTATCCTCGGGAGACACCCGAGGATCTGTCTTGTAGGTTTTAGGCCGTCCGCCGCTGCCTAGATCATCATCGCCACCCGTCCTAAGGCACTATGCAGATCCATATTTCGTCAAGTGGCATGCCCGGTGGGATCGATTTATTTGGTCTTTACAACCAAATAAATTTCTTAGCGAAGCACGGAATCTTTTGTATCTTTCGCAGCCACGGTGTTAATTCGTTGCTCAGATTTTGCAACTAGAAGATCTTGCAAAAACTTATCTTTGTTTGACCAAGAAGACGTCAGTCGACAAGTAGCACAAAGAAGTTTTTGGTTGCACAAAGAATTCGAGGAGCTGCACTTGCTCTACAACTGATCAAGAAGAATAGTCCCACGGAATCTTTTGTATCTTTCGTAGCCACGGTGTTAATTCGTTGCTCAGATTTTGCAACTAGAAGATCTTGCAAAAACTTATCTTTGTTTGGCCAAGAAGACGTCAGTCGACAAGTAGCACAAAGAATTCGAGGAGATGCACTTGCTCTACAACTGATCAAGAAGAACAGTCCCTGGAGTTCAAAATCTGTCAAAAGGGGCAGAATATTCAGCCGAGAACAATTCCTCAATTTGAGAATTTCCACTTAATCCCTAATAATTTTAATTATTTGGTCCATAAAAATTTTAAAATTTTGAGATTAGCAAGGGACAATTTCAAAGATTAGAGTTTCGAGAGATATCTCTCCTCGAAGGGACAACCATCCCTCGAGCACCATACTACTACTTAAAGTGTTCGAGAACATGTATCTACTCAACTATTACCTTCTCGCAATCGAGGTAACACTTTCTCGAATAATCAATTTATTGAGGTATTTCTAAAACCTTTCATGCTTTAATATCTGATATCATTATCATATTACTATCATATCACGATATATTTTTGAGCACTATCAAAGGAATCTTTCGAGGAACCAACCCTCTAGGGAAAATTCTCATCATCCTGCAATGAGGAAAATCACCTCAGGGTTGCTTTCAATGAGGAAAACGTACTCGGGACACAAACTGGAAAAAATTCTAGGGGCAAGGAACTTGAGAGATCATCCTAACATCCTCTACTTGAACGGATATTCCTTAGGTGCATCTTATTACTACATGTCATTATTATCTTGTATTGCATCTCAATGATCTACACACTCGCGGTCCATCGTGCAAACAAGAATACTCGCGGTCCACCGCGCAAACAAGGATACTCGTGGTCCACCGCACAAACAAGGATTCTCGCGGTCCACCGTGCAAACAAGGAACTCTCTAATAGTAAAGACCTCATCGAGGCATCCTACTCTCTTTATCTTATATAGGTGACACCCGAGAACAAAAGAGTTCGAGAACTGTGGCAACACCACAAAGCTCGAGAAGACATCAACACTCATAGCAACCCATATTCTTCTTGGCGAGTCTCGAGAATATGGCTTGCTAGGGGCACTTGACGAGTCAGAATTAAACCCTAGGCATATTGGGCCTAGGATTAGGTTACTTGGAGATTAAGTCACCGACTAAACCTATTCCGCTAGGGTTTCAGGAAACAGGTAACATCATCTCCATATAAAGAGGTGGTGCCTCTCCCATAATTCATATCTTCTACCTATCTTCTACACCTTCTACACACGATACACATTCCTCTCTCTCTATTATCTCTATTCCTTTATTGACTTAAGCATCGGAGAGTCTATCCTCGGGAGACACCCGAGGCTCTGTCTTGTAGGTTTTAGGCCGTCCGCCGCCGCCTAGATCATCATCGCCCACCCGTCCTAAGGCATTGTGCAGATCCATGCTTCGTCACCCGGCAAGCAACAAAAATTCTGTAACACAGTCGTAAGGGGAGCCCGGACATGGACATCGGCGATCACAAACATCATCAACGCAGCCAGAAAAGACCTACCACCAGCCAAGACGGTGATCGACAATCTCAGCAAAATGTTGGCCAAGGACAACGAACGGAATCTGGAAGGTTGCCAAGGCAGCTTGGCCACCTACAATGATTGGATGACTCCGACTTCAGAAAGCATTAAGAAGGGAGATTCAAGTGATGTACTGGATGAAGTTGGCGAATCGCTTCCCCCAATTTTTACATCCTTGTCGAATTGCACTAATGCGCCGGCGCTCAAAGTGAAGGGATCCCTGGATTTGGCTCAGGTTCAACAGTTTGTGATCAAAATGAGAGATTATGCGAGCCTTGCTAAAACTGTACTTTGTTCACAAGACGAATATTATTGTTCGATTGACTACCCTCCTTCAGATTAAACAAAATGGAGGATGGCTTGACCAATAATTAATATATCAGGTTAAATTACTCAGTCTCAAAAAATGTAGTACATATATATTCATGAAAATATTCAATTAGTTGGAATACAATGAGTTATTGTGTCTATTAATATAATGAGTTATCGCCTGTGAATTCACTTTTGTCGACACTCTTCTATTTTAATCAATCGACAGGTCAGAGGCGGTCCTATTCAGAGGCTTGGAGGTGTTGGAGCACCTTCGGCCGCCGAAAATATGTTTACCAGGAAGATAGTTTTGGATCTATTTCCAGATTTCTTCCTTTTGCAAGCTCTCTCAAAAAAAGTTGGATACGCCTTTTTGAAAAGTCATTTTGAAATATAACTTAATAATATGAATGAAATTAGATGTTAAACTATACAAGAATCAGTGGCCTTATTATGCGAAGAAAAAGTCTGAATTGCAGCAGGATACAAGGAAGAAGACGATTCCTCAATTACTATCTAGTCTGTTCTTTAAATTACTACTTAACCCTTCGAACAAGTTGACTAGGCTTTAGAGGTGGGGGGCTATCTTGGGAAATCGCCTATTTTTTAATGATGGGCCTAATTTGGTGAGACGTTGGGCCTTCTTTCTTCTTTTTTTTCCCTAGTAAATAAATATTTTAGACATTATTTTTCCCCTAGAATATGAATAAATAGTAGTAGTAAAATTTATGTAATTTTTTTGTCTAAAAAATTAACATGATTTAAGATAAACAGTTTTCTATTTTTATTGGAACAAAAATACTCCTTTTTCCCTCTGCATAATCAATATTTTAAAAATATTTTAGTGAATATGATTATTGTTGTCGACTACCAATAAGTATTATTCCTTTCGTTCTTAAGTATAAGGAACAAATTAACACTAAATTTAGTTTAATTTGTACTTTATAATTAGGGGTGACGAGTCTATATCCATTACCAACATTGGATCGGCTCATTAACCGCGTAGGAGATCTAACCGAGTCTGATAAAGCGGTTTAGGTAACCAAAACCTAGTAATATTCAGTTATCGCATAGGTGCTTTCATGCCTATAAATAGGGTTGGTCGCACCACAATAAGGTACGCAATCTCTAGCTTAACATACTACGTACTCAAACGTTCTTAAAACCCTTTACTGACTTAAGCATCAGAGTGTCTACCCTCGGGAGACTCCCAAGACTTTATTTTGCAGGAAACCCTAGCCGGAGTTCCACTGTTAGACTGGCGGTGTAAAACCAAGCTTCGTCAAGTGGCACGCCTAGTGGGACCCAAAAACTAGGGTTTGTGTCACGAAAACCTTCACAGGTTTCCTTAACATCTTCTGGTGAGATCTTGGATTGCAGGAACAATCAACACAATGGTTAGGGTTGAAGAAGACACCAGCATCACAGCATCTTCTGCTAGACGACATAGTCCGGGAGACAATACCACCCTAGTAGAATTCCAACGCAGACAAGAAAGGAAGAAAGCGGGAAAGAGCCATGATGGAGGACCTGAAAAAGAATCAGCAAAAGAACGCTTGGTCCTTGGTTCTTCTCGGCCAGATCCGAAGAAACAAGACAAGGCCAATCATCCACCCGAAAAGGAGAATGTGTCTTCTCTACGAAATACCCCTGCTACCAAGAAACGTTTGGAGGATCAGAAGCTGGCCAAGATCGCGGCAGAACTCAAGAAGCTAAGGAATGACAGCGATCAACAATAGAGGATGCGAAAATACGTCCTCAAGGAAACCAGGCGGTGTTGTCTCCTTGGAAAACCTGATCCCACAGAACAGGAGTTGAGTGATTTGATTGAAGAGAAAGAAACTCACACAACCCTAGCCCTTCTCGAGAAGAAGCGGGGGAAGCGTAAGGTCTAAGAGAATGAGGATTATCAAGAAGTTGAGGGTTATGAAGATCTCCACGAAGACCGCTCAACCGTCACTCGAGACACCGTATTCTGGAATGCTTTCAAAGAAAGATACCCAGCATTCGAAACGGCCCTTGAGGAATTTGACGCTACATACAGGCATAAAGGTGCTTGAGATTATCATGGTTCCCCGAGTATTGAGGTCATTGAAGAAGGAGAATGGAATCCTCCAAGGCGAACTAACGTGCACGACCGCCTGAGACCTAATTGAAATTGAAGAAGTTCTCGAAAAGATGAGTATAGACCTGGCCATGAATCATATCAAGGTTACAACAACATCCAGGGCTATCATGGCCGAGGATACCATCACCGTCCTCAGTATTCACCTCCCAGACATCAGCAATATAATAGGCATAGAGAAAATCCGCCATACCACCATAGAGATCAGCAGGGAACAAGAGATCAGAATGTCTTGATTCGAGAAGAAATGAGGAAGATCATTGGGATAGGAGTAGACCAGAGTCCCTTTATCCCTGACATTCGAGATGAACCTAAGCCCCACGATTTCGACTTTCCTAAGGAATTTAAACCATACTCAGGGGATACAGATGTCTCTCAATGGCTGCAAGGGTATGTCCAAGTTATGAGAATTCGAAACGCAACTATGAATTTCATGGCCAAAGCCCTACCTTCTTACCTGGCGGGGTCTGCACAGCGATGGTTAGTTTTGAGAATTTATCCGTCAAACTAGCTACTCGATTCTTTCGGAGTAAACGCATATCGCGGATGTCCATTGATCTCTCTTCAATCAGACAAGCGCAACATGAGAGTCTCACCAATTTCCATAGACGGTTCATACAAGAAACCTTACAAGTCGACGACATTGATGATCGAGATGTTTGCAACGGATTCATCCAAGGCCTCAACCCTTTTGGAAATCCTCAATGTTGCGGGTCAAGCTCTCGACTAAGCCCCCCAAGAATGCTCGGGAGATGTGGGCCATTGTCGAGAATCATATACAACGAGAACATACACTCAAAAGATCCCAGGAATCTTTTGCGTTGGTAGGACCCAGAGACAAATCGAAGGTTCCCATGGAGAGCAAACCAACATTGCCCAAGATATATCCGCTTGGTCTCCTGCGGACATGACAGGAGTCCCTCAAGAGGTTATGGAACATGAGCTAAATATCGACCCAAACGTCAAATCTGTGTAGCAGAAGAAGAGGATATTTGCTCGTGAACACAATGACATCATCAACGAGGAAACGACGAAGTTAGTTCGTGCCAACATACTCCGAGAAGTCCTGTGGCCCACTTGGTTAGCCAACCCAGTCTTAGTGCGAAAACCCGATAATTCTTTGCGCATGTGCCAAGATTACACTGACCTCAACAAGCATTGTCCAGAAGACTGTTACCCCCTATCAGTCATAGATCAGATGGTCGAGGGTATTGCCAGGTATAGGACCCTCAGTTTTCGTGACGCTTACAAGGGATACCATCATATCCTCATGGCACGAGAAGATGCAGAAAAGACGGCTTATATTACCGAGATTGGGGTTTATTGCTACGACAAGATGCCCTTTGGACTAAAAAACACAGGGGCAACTTATCACCGTCTCGTGAATAGAACCTTTCATGACCAAATTAGCCGGAACATCGAGATCTACGTGGATGATATGGTGATAAAAACTGATGAAGACCAGCTAGTTGCCGCAGATATGCGAGAGATCTTCACGACCTTACGCAAAATTAACATCAAGTTAAACCCTAAGAAATGTACTTTCTGTGTTAGGTCAGGGAAATTCCTAGGATACCAGGTTTCCAAGGATGGAATCAGCGTTGACCCGGCAAAAATCGAGGCAATTTTAGCCATGGAGACACCAAAAACTGTCAAAGAAGTTCAAAAACTCACAGGCTCCTTGGCCGCTCTAAACAGATTCCTCTCTCGAGCTGCCGAAAGAAGCCTTCCATTCTTCCATACACTTCGCAAAGGTAGGAAATTCGAATAGAATGAGGAGTGCCAGAAAGCCTTCCAGGACTTGAAGGAACACCTTAAGCAGTTGCCCGTATTAGCTAAGCCAGAACCAAGAGAAACCTTATATGTCTATCTGGCAGCTCGAGAGAAAGCCATCTCAGCCGTGCTCGTGCAACGCAACGATGGAAAAAAAAAATCCCCGTCTACTTCGTTAGTAAAGTTTTACAAGGGGGAGAAACCCGCTATACACCCATGGAAAGACTCATTCTCAGTCTGGTCTTAGCCGCTCGACGCTTACGTCCATACTTTCGGGCGCACCCCATCATGGTTTTGACAGAGCAACCCATTCAACAAGTCCTACTCAAGCCAGAGGCCTCCGGTAGAATGATGAAGTGGGCAGTCGAACTGGGGGAACACCACATCGAGTACAAACCACGGACAGTAATCAAAGGACAAGCCTTTGCAGATTTCTTGGTAGAAATGCCTCGAGCTATCGACGTCCCAGAACTTGTGAAACCCAAGGATGATCCTGCTACTCACGTTAACATAAACCCTCGAGCCTGGTTACTATACGTCGACGGCTCTCATTGTGATGAAGGGGGAGGAGCCGGTATCATATTAGCCAAACCTTCAGCCAATCCCGGCATCGAGAGCATGAGGGAGTATGACGCAGAGTAAACATATGCACTAAGGTTTGGATTCCCGGTCACTAACAACGTGGCCAAGTATGAAGCATTGATAGTAGGACTGTGCACTAAACCTCGGGGTTCACAGAATTCAAGTTTTTAGTGACTCTCATGTAGTAGTGAAGCAAATATTGGGCAAAAATACAGCAAATGATGAGCAACTCAAGCGATATCTCGAGAAAGTCCTCGAGATCAAGGACAAGTTCGAAGAATGCACCGTATCCCACATAGTCCGGTCGAGAAATAAGAGGGCGGATGCCCTCAGTAAGTTGGCCTCCTCGAATTTTGCACACCTCAGTCACAAAGTGTGGGTCGATATTCTCCCCGAGCCTAGCATCCAGAAAACCCCCGTAATGACTATCGCCGAGGACGAAGACACTTAGATGACCCTGTTCATCCGATACCTTACAGACGGTAAATTACCAAGCGGAAGAGCAGAAGCCAGAGCCCTCCAGTTGAAGGCGGTTAAATACACATTGCAAGACGGTATCCTATATAAGCACGGGTACCTGCTACCCATGCTAAGATGCATTGGCCCAAAGCAAGCAGCTTATGTGCTCGAAGAAATACATGAGGGATCATGTAGAGCACATATGGGAGCGAGAGTACTTGCTAAGAAGGTCTTGCGTTTAGGGTATTTCTGGCCAACAATCTTCAAGGACGCATGCCAGTTTGTACAGAAGTGCGATAAAGTCAACGCTTTTCTCCCATCACTCGATAGCCGCAGCACGAGATGGTCACCGTTCAAAGCCCTTGGCTTTTCTACCAATGGGGCACTGACATCATCGGCCCTTTTTATCCAAAAGGGGCAGGAGGAGTAAGATGGGTAATCGTAGGAGTAGATTACTTCACTAAATGGGTAGAAGCTAAACCGTTGGTCTCGATAACTGGAAAGAAGTTGCTGGATTTTTTCTGGCAGAACATCGTATGCCACTTCGGAATCCCAAGGGTTGTCGTCTCTGACAATGAGACCCAATTCGAGAATAATCCCTTCAAGTCGTGGTGCGAGGAAATGCAAATCGAGCGTCGCTTCTCAAGCGTAGCTCATCCTCAAGCTAACGGTCAGGCGGAATCCATCAGAAGAGCAGAAGCCAGAGCCCTCCAGTTGAAGGCGGTTAAATACACATTGCAAGACGGTATCCTATATAAGCACGGGTACCTGCTACCCATGCTAAGATGCATTGGCCCAAAGCAAGTAGCTTATTTGCTCGAAGAAATACATGAGGGATCGTGTGGAGCACATATGGGGGCGAGAGCACTTGCTAAGAAGGTCTTGCGTTTAGGGTATTTCTGGCCAACAATCTTCAAGGGCGCATGCCAGTTTGTACAGAAGTGCGATAAATGTCAACGCTTTTCTCCCATAACTCGACAACCGCAGCACGAGATGGTCACCATTCAAAGCCCTTGGTCTTTCTACCAATGGGGCACTGACATCATCGGCCCTTTTTATCCAAAAGGGGCAGGAGGAGTAAGATGGGTAATCGTAGGAGTAGATTACTTCACTAAATGGGTAGAAACTAAACCGTTGGTCTCGATAACAGGAAAGAAGGTGCTGGATTTTTTCTGGCAGAACATCGTATGCCGCTTCGGAATCCCAAGGGTTGTTGTCTCTGACAATGAGACCCAATTCGAGAATAATCCCTTCAAGTCGTGGTGCGAGGAAATGCAAATCGAGCGTCGCTTCTCAAGCGTAGCTCATCCTCAAGCTAACGGCCAGGCGGAATCCATCAACAGAACCATCTTACATGGGATCAAGACTAGGTTGTATGACACAAAAGGAGCATGGGCTCACGAGCTTCCTCATGTCCTATGGTCATACCGTACTACCGCTCATTCCTCGATAGACGAAACACCGCATAGTTTAGTCTATGGCATGGATGCCGTCCTCCCGGTCGAGATAGGCTTGTCGAGTCCCTGAACAATAAACTTTGTCGAGGGCACTAATGATGATGACATCAGGCTTAACCTCGACTTGCTTGAGGAACGGCGAGACGCAGTCAGAATTCGAGAGGCAAAGTATAAAGAGATTCTGCGAAGACATTATAATAAGAAAGTGAAGGCCACAGATCTCGCGGTAGGCGATCTCGTGTTAAGAAAAAATGAAGCGAGTCGAGCAGAAACTCTTGGAAAACTCACAGCAAATTGGGAAGGACCCTACAAAGTTATCCGGGCTTCCCCAGCAGGCACCTACCGCTTACAAACCTTGGATGATAGTGGAACTATTCTCCCTTGATGGTGGAACATTCAGAACCTTTGCAGGTTCTATGTTTGAATCTTTGCTTGCTATTTGCTTATCTTAGTTGTGTGTTTTATTTGCTTTATTTACTTTGTCAGTTTTATTTTCCCATATGTAATGCTAACCCGGGTCCTCGGGTAATTATTCAGTAAAAGATATTACATATCTTTTTCATTGTCGATATCTTATTCATGACTAGTCATCGAGATGGACTCCCCCTTCAGGGCCATCCTCGTTAAAGAGCCGTGTATTCAACATCTGGACACAAAACCGAGGAATCCTCCCCGTACACACTGTAAAATGCAGTATCGAATTGAGGAATTCGTACATAATTCCCTTGATTGAGCCGTGTACTTTACATCCGGCCAACAAGCGCTATACAAATTAAAAACTCGAGTTTCATGAAACCATACTACATTAGTTTCCTTCACACAACTGTGCGAGGATGTAGAGAATATATATATCCTTCTAAACTCTTACAAGAACTTCCCTGATGGGATTATCAGGAGAAGGGCGAATAATCCCCTTGAACCCATGCTGACTAAGAAGATTTACACATTGGTTCAGCTTATCTTTGAGATCCACAGTCTCTTCATCTTGGGCATGTACCCTCATGAGCAGTTCCTCTCGAGAACTCCGGGTTCGGGGATCAGCAACGACTTCAGGTTTCTCAAAAATTGGAAAGTCAATCTGGTGATCTAATAGTAAGTTCTGCAGGTCGCTAATATATCCCATGAGAAGTTCGACCTCCTGAACTCTCTCCTTCAACATATCCATCGCGGCAATGAATCTGCAAGTTTGAATGGAAATCATGTGGTGCATTCGAGCCAACACGTGGTGCTTCTCGAGAAACCATGGCGATACGGTGATCTGGTGACCTTGTCTCAACCGAGTATTTTCCTTCTGTAGGGCAACAAGTTCGCCATGAATATCGGTCTCGAATGTCAAAGAATCCCTAAAATCTTTGTCTTTCTAGAAATCTCATCGTTGCATCTCCGCACGAAGTTCTTTGATTTCGTTAATCAGATGTTGATTAACTCTCACATTGTGTGCCTACATCACGTCGAGAAGGTCAACCTCCAGCTTTTCTATTGTCTCGACGCTATGAATGTCTGCACGACCTGTCATAATGCCACTAATCATGGAATACAGGGGGAACTCTTTTGCCTGTTCCTCTGACAACACCATGAGGTGGACTCGATGGATAGACCAACCGTCCTGTTCCAGCAGAGAGATAGGAAACATTTGCATTAAATTGAAACAAGGCAAAAGGAGCAAACTCCATTGACGAAAAAGGGGAAATGATAATTTGACATATAAATTTTTAGGTCCAAAAATCCTAACAGCTATTACAAGAAGAGAAGGTTCATACAGCATCTCGATCAGGCGATGTATCCTTGGATTGAGACGTCTCCCCACCCTTTCTCTGCACCCCGGAATGGCCAGTGTCGGCTACATCCTCCTCAATAGCTTCATCGTCAGCATATTCAAGCTCGATCCCCATATATTCATCTGGCACATCAGGAATGGGCTCCTCCTCACTTGGGCCTTGGGCAAGGATTGTAGGGGCATCTCCAGGGAACGACGAAATGTCTGAGGGAGAATTCATTTTAGCCACGGCTCCCGATAGGGCTTCCCATAGAGGCAACTGCTCGATGCTGAGCTTGGTCAGGACCTTCACCATTGCGTCGTGCATTGTTTCCTTTGGCTCCGGAATCAGGAGTTGTTTAAACTATTTCGCCTTGATGGGTCTGTCATCCCTAAGCCTCTTAAGGCCCGCCACAGCAACTCGATGTGCACCGCATTTAGTGGCAATCAGGTTCACCTCCTCGATGCCGGCTGCCATCCCACCTGTTGACATCATCCTGTACATGAAGGTAGCACACCACTTATGCAGGTCCTCTTTTGAGATGCAGATTGGTGTAACCCTTAAGTTGCTCCTCGAGCTCGTTGTACTTAACCTGCACGGCAACCAATTCCTGCTCCAGGGTTGATACCTATCTCGACTTCTCTTCCTGGACGATCTTCTCGATCAAGGGTTGATCTCGTTCAGCTCGCGCCAGAACCAGCTCTTCCTTCAATTTCCTATGTGCATTAGGTTCGCCATCGAGCATGCACTCATCCGTATACAGTTGAGGCGTTAAGGAGGGTTTCTCTAAACCATGGTCACAAGCATAGGTAATCAATTACAACAAAAACCTTATCAGCCTTATGCTATCAGTTTCATTCAGCTTCGTGGCGAATTCCTCCAGCAAGGGGCACTCGATCGTGGGTGGCTCACTAAACGTGTGGGTTGCCACTGTCGGTTCTCCCTCAAACAGTTGGGTGGGCAATATTAGTGCCTCTCCCTCGGGAGGGTTTGTGCGTTGGTTGGTAGTAGCAGAGACATTTGTCCTTGGCTCCACGGGCGGAACCTACGGTTCTTCGATGGTAGGGGGGATAGTTTTCTCCAATTGTGCTGGGTTCTATGTCGAGGGCATGTCAGATCTTGCCTTCTTGTTCTTCTTCTTCTCGGAGGCCTTGACGATTTGCCTCTTTTTCTTCTTCTGGCCAGCGACTGCAGTGGCTGTAACTTCCTCATCTGAATTTACAATGGGAAAGGGATCTTCATCACCAAATAATCGAGAACCAGCATTGCTCGAAGACATGATCTAAGAACAAGCAAGGAAGTGAAAATAATTAGTACCTTTCTTTTCTTCAAAAGGGGTCTCGAGAGGAGCCCCGAGTGCAGTCTCGACAAGGTTCTCTTCTTCCTTTTCCTCGACAGGGGTGGCAGGAATGAACTGCTATAAGTTATCCCATCTCACAACCTTGGAATACTTTTTGAGCTTTTTCAAGTTATCTCCGAATTCATGGATCATTTCCTCATCTTCATCCGTCCATTCGTCCTTTATCGCCTCATATCCATTGACCTCTCGATAATTCCAGGCGACGCGGTATTTCTCTGGTGCCGCTTCATAAAGAAAGTTTGGCTTCCATATGGGGGACCCACCATACCCCTCTACTCTCTTTCTAGAACTAGAAGCCAGGTTTCTCTTTACTATATACCAGTCTTGGAAACTTGTCGAGGGCATGGATACTCTAAAGAAATATCTCCAAAGGAACAGGCACGGTCTCACCTTTACTCGTTGACAAATTTTCACAAATCCGAGAACGTAGGTAATCAGATTTGGGGGTGAAGCGTGCTAAGGGGATTTTATAGTAATCAACGATCTCTCGAACAAAGGAAAAAGGGGGAATCTCATGCCTAAGAACATAAACCTGTCATATATGGTGATTTTTTCTTCTGGAGGAGTATTGGCCCTCTCGTTTCCTAGGGGGGCTCTAGCTTCTAGATCTAGGGACAGGTCATATTTGGCTTTAATAGAATTTACCCTCTCAACACTATTTATGGAGGAGGCGAAGTCGTCAACTGATCTCTGGTTAGGAGAATAGAGATTTACGCTACAAATTCAACCAGAGAAATCTAAAACGAAATTCAAGTGATCAGATCTGAGGACTTACTGTTGAACTGGAGAAAGACCACTCGCCTTTGGAATTATAGCCTCCCAGCTTCTTCGCGATCCCTTAACCGTGGGTTTTCCGGCGATAATGTTACCGGAGCAAGTTTATTGAATCAGGACTGTGGGTATTCCAGCAAAGAGCAGTTGAAGTGCTTTGGCAGAGAATAGAACCTTAGTATTTTGGGATGAAATAGAGGGAAGTGAGCTTTTGAGAGTTCTTCTAGGTATTTAAGGCTAGAGTTAAATCCTCCCATGTTTCCGCAGTTACAGCCCACGCTTTGACAGTTTGGGAGAATTTCAAGGACGCTGTAATGATGATGAAGCCGCTATTTGGGGAACGTGCCCACTAATGGTGCGCGGTTGAATAAATTGGGCGGGATTATGAAGCGGGTTACCTCCCCTCCCCGGGTCGGATCGTGGTTAGTAGGCTACGCGTTAAGCTTCCTCGATGCAGCATAGATCGAGGAAGGCACACTCATATCTTGGGCCTGCTTGCCGTACTACTGGACCAATCTTGTCCATTACTCTTGGGCCTGTTCCAAGTAAGTCTATCTTGTATCAAGTATTGTTTATCATGTACAACTAACACTTGACAGGGGCACTTGACGAGTCCATATCTATTACCAACATTGGACCGGCCCGTTAACCGCGTAGGAGGTCCAACCGAGTCTGATAAGGTGGTTTAGGTAACCGAAACCTAGTAATATTCGGTTATCACATATGTGCTTTCATGCCTATAAATAAGGTTGGTCGCACCACAATACAGGTACGCAATCTCTAGCTTAACATACTACGTATTCAAACGTTCTTAAAACCCTTTACTGACTTAAGCATCGGAGTGTCTACCCTCGGGAGACCCCCGAAGCTTTATTTTGCAGGAAACCCTAGACAGAGTTCCACTGTTAGACTGGCGGTGTAAAACCAAGCTTCATCAGGGGAGTGCTATATAAAAAAGTGTTTTTGGAAATAAAATTTTTTATAAAAATGCATGCATTATTAAATTTAATTCGTGCAAGAAAAAAAAAAAAAAACAGTGGAGCACTTCCAGAGTTTCAGTCCTAGTTCCGGCCCTGCAACGGATGATCTAGCCACAACACAGTGACACACCGTTGCAAATTGTGAATTGTGAGACACATGTTTGTTTCTTTTTCCATTCTTGAATAAAAGCCAATTTCGTTACAATATTCTTAAATGTAAATCGTAACTTCTTTTGATCCTATCCAGGAAAATGTTTCATTTTTTAGGTTCGTAATTTATTTTATTTTTTTTTGAATTTCTTTAGTTAATTGGAGCTCGTAATTTTCTGAGCTTATGAAGGTGCATGCACGAATGAATTAATTAATTTGGTTTACGTTTCATTGACCTAAACTTCAAGTTTTTTTCCTTTTTTTTTGGGGGATAAAATGCAAACTTGTATTGCTTCTCTTCATCAAAATATTTGTCTAACTTCCTCTACGCTTCTATTACAAGAATTTGAAAACCTTGTTGTATTCCAAGTTTCTCAAGAAATCGAATCTCGTTATTATCTCCTTTGGTACTTAATATAAGGCATTTTCTTTTGTATTAGATTTTACCTAATATGTATTTTTAATTAAAAAAATTAAAAATATATTTTTAAATTCGGTGTGCTCTCTTCATTATTAGTAAATATTTTTAAGATTTTTTGGTCAATTTAAATTACATAATAAGTGAAATCTAAGACAAATCAAATGCCTGAATTAAGGACCAGAGGAAGTATTTTTTTTTTTGACGATCGAATCAATATCCCAAATCACCTCCCGTCTCTTCTTCCCAAACTTCCAAACATTCCGTTCCATCCATACATGGTACATGACTGCAACTATAAAAGCAAAAACGACTTTCTGCTTCACCTTCTTAAACCTCTATACCCTCAGAATCCTTCTAGTGCTATTCCTTAAGGACGCAAAAATTTCGTTTTTCAATCCCCAGCCTCATTAGTACATTTTCCAACATCTCCTAATTAGCACATTCACATCTGAAGAAAAGGTGGTCAATCTGTTCATCATGTCCTTTCTACGTACTACCCAAAGTTTTTCCCCATCATTCAATATCTTCATTTTCCCTAGCCTTTCTTTTTGCCTCCATCCTGTTTTGTTTTTCTCCTCTCATCCTGCTTACAATATTCCACTAATTGTCAACATAAAAAGGGCGTTTAATGTTTATCAGCACTCGAATATCAACGCTGTGGTTTACAAAAAATAATACTGCGCAATTGAAATTTAATCCCATATGGTTACTCATGACTTAAATAAGTTGAGATGAGTTTATTAGTATTCCAAACAATGGCCTACCTATTCTATGTAATTTTATACTCACTTCGACCCATACACCTCCGCAATTTCTGCCTTATCAATTTCTCAATCAAGGTCTAAAAAAAAAAATTATACTTGGTTTGTGATACCAGAAATCAAACCGACAAGAAACATGCTTATACATATTCTTACTAATAGATAACTCAAAAAAAAATATAACATCAACTCAACTGTTATTACTTCAACGTGAATCACACCTTTGCTGCGATAAAATCTCCCTGAGAGATTCATTTGGTTTACTCACTTTAATCGTTGACACTCTCCTTCAAAAAAGGTACTAGCATTTCAATATGCAGGTTTTCTTCATCTTCTTTTTGGCTTTATTTCTCTTTCTGCCTTCCCTTTTGTTACTTAGGAAGAGACTCAAAAGCCATGAAACTCAAAAACCATTACCTCCTGGTCCAGCAAAGCTCCCATTTATTGGGAATTTGCACCAAATGTTTGGTTCACTCCCTCACCACACTCTCCGAAAATTATCACAAAAATATGGTCCGTTGATGCATTTGCAACTAGGTGAACTTTCCACAGTTGTTGTATCATCCCCGAAATTCGCGAAAGAAGTCCTACAAACCAATGGTCTCGCATTTGCAAATCGGCCAAAGCTAACCCTAGGCAAAATATTCTCGAATAATTGCTTGGGATTCGTCGCTTTTGTTCCTTATGGCGACCACTGGAGACAAATGCGCCAAATCTACGCCGAGGAACTCCTCAACGCCAAAAGCATGCGATCATCTTTGAGTGTTTTCGAGGATGAACTTTCTAAGATGGTGTTATTAATGCAATCCCAGAAGGCCGGAAAGCCAATTATTTTGGGCGAAGCAATTTTATCATTAAATTCAACCATCTGCAGGATGATCGTTGGGAGGAAGATATCTGGAGAAGATCAGGAGGCATTGACTTCAGCAGCGCGTGAAACCGGATCGCTCGGTGGAGTTTTCAATCTTGCGGATATTTTCCCTTCATCAATGGTTGTCAAATTCATTGTTGCAATGAAACCTTACAAGTTAGCAAAGCTGCGGAAAAAAATCGATGGCATCCTCGAATAGATCATCCGCAGTCTTGAAATAAACAGGACTAATAATAGTAATTCTTCTTCGGAGGAAGATATGCTGGATGTTCTCTTAAGGCTTGAGAAAAATACTCAATCTCACTTCTCTATCACCCGGAATCAAATCAAAGCCATGATATTCGTAAGCCCTTTTAAAATTCTTTCCTCCAGCACAAAATTATTGTTCAGTTTAAATTTTTACTTTTAGTACAATTTGAACTAAAACTAAAAAACTAAACTGAACAATAATGTTAGGACGGAGGGAGCGTATAGTTTTCTATTTTTTAAAAATAAATAAATAAATTTGCTAGCACTCGCTGGAATTGTCAGTAGGTGGAACATTAACTTCGCCGGTGGTCGCAGAATGGGCCATGGCAGAAATGATGAAAAATCCAAATGTTATGGAGAAGGCACAAATTGAAATCAGGCAAGCTATAGGAGGAAAGGAGAAAATTAGGGCAAGTGACACAAACGGGTTAAACTACCTGAATTGGGTGATAAAAGAAACTCTGAGATTACATCCGCCAGGACCTTTGTTAGCTCCAAGAGAGAGCAGAGAAGGATGTGAAATTGGAGGATATAGAATTCCGAGTGGAACCGTAACGATCATAAATGCTTGGGCGATCGGAAGAGATCCCGAGTACTGGAATGACCCGGACGAGTTTAAACCCGAAAGGTTCCTAGACAGTTGTATCGATTTTATGGGGACCAATTTCGAGTTCTTACCATTTGGCGCTGGGAGAAGAATCTGTCCCGGAATAAACTTTGGGGTTTCCAACATCCGGCTTATACTTGCTTCCTTGCTGTATCACTTCCACTGGAAACTACCTGAAGGGATCAAACCTGAAGATTTGGATATGACTGAGAAGTTTGGTGCCGCAGCTGAAAGTAAAAACAACCTGTGTTTGGTTCCAGTGATATACAATCCATAATAATATAAAAAAATATAAGCATATGATATCCTTTCTCGAAATTTCTAATGTTTGTATACGGCGTAATAAAAAGGAATTATATTTTACTTACTACCTCCATTTCTTTTTATATCTGTCGCATAAGCATATAAATACAAAAAAAAATTTATCTTCATTTTCAATGCAGTATTAAAAACACATTTTTCAATTACACCCCTAATTATCTCTTTAACTTTAACTAGATGCTTGTCACCGGGCGAATGTCCGGGGTGTCGTCTGTATTTTTAAATTGATTAAATAAAAAATACGAATCATTTTTAAAAGAATAAAAAAAATTAAAAGAATAAAAAATCGATTGAAAGGACAGAAAGTGAGTTATTACACATAAATCTATGCCTAGATTTACAACATTTAATTTATAATAGTTAACTTATGCCCGAGTTTACATAAATCATAAACCAATATCTACAACACAAGAATAAAAAAAATCATCCTTAAAAAATCAAATTTCTTTCATGACAGCTTATTTTTTCTCTGTTGTAGAAAGAGATGGATTGATAATTGACGTCAGATTTTAAGTAATTGATTTAAATGCCCGAGTGTGAGAGAGGAGCGGAATGGAAGAGATTCTTTGAAATTGAGGATTAGGAAGACATTACTGGTGTTTCACTTGATTTAAGGAAATTTCCTTACATTTGATTTTATCAACTAAATATTATTGTTTTAAGGGATTAGTATATGCCTATAATTAATATATTTTTATGTAACTATAATTAAGGGATTTATGTATTTACCTATTCTATCTTTTTTTTTCCTTATTAATTAGAGTGCCACGTGTCAAAAATGATTTTGTACTGAAAATGGCTTTTGGCAGGAAAATTTTCCTTGTGATACTGACACATGTCCTTTTTGTTTGCTGCTTTAATTAAGTACTATAAATGACATACATTAATGACAACAACTTAAATACCACTTAATTTATTATGAAATTAACTCTTTCGTGATTCCGTCATCAAACACGTTAAAAATGAAAACCTTTTAATGAATTGATCATTTTAAGCAGTAAGTTGTATTAACAAACGAGTTTTGAGATTAATTGCGTATGTGCGCTTGATAAAATTAAAGTCCGCGGCAGTCTGGGTCCGGCCGGCCTCTTCTATGTTTTCGATTTATCTTCGAACTCGAAGCAAAGTTTTAGAGATTGGAAGTAGGGTTTTGTTTAGCCGCTGTCAGAGCTGCAGATGCGCCGAGCTTTGCAAGTCCATAGGGAGTAGATACGTAACACTATCTGATGAAGGCTACTCCATCAGCAATTTTTTATTTATTCTTTTTTTTTGGCTTTTATTAATTACTAACCTTAGTTTCCTTTTCTGAATCAGTTTCCTAGGCGATATCATTGCTATATAGTATCTTTCTCTCCTAATTAAAAAATTTCTTTATAGTCTTCCATGAATCAGGATGCGTGCAAGCGTTCGCAATATGTGATGCCAATTACCTATCTGACCTCTGAAAATAACATCCGATTCATTCAGATAAAACACGTAGTAGCACTATGATTGAATCATAAAAAATACATCATAGGATGACTGTATTCGATTTTATTATCCACTTGATTTGAAATGCGAAAAATGACATGGTGAATATTAAGGCAAAGGTAACTAAGAATTCACGAGGAATTACATTTGTGGCTACTGGAGTTTCCTTATCACGAAATGTGTCGACAAGAAAGATTATTCAATTGGCAAACACAGTTTTTCGTGTGAAACACTCACAAAAGCGATAAAGGGACAGGAGACATATGATTCACTCATTTACCACGTTAGGCTAGTAACGTTTAACGTGTAAAATTAATTCTACTTAGTTCGGGTGATAGTAGAGAAATTAAATTACCGTATTAAAATAAAATTTTTAGATCTGTCTATCAACGAATTTTAAAATTCTGAAACTCAAAACACTGAACAAAATAAATTAAGGCCACCAATCCATTTCGCTGTCACCGCAAAATGAGAGAGAGTACAACCTTCTTAGTTCCAATATACAGTACTTTTTTTCTTTTCTTGGCTGATCCTTATTCAACGGAGTGGAAAGATGCATCCATGCCGTTTACTCTTGAAGGCCCATATAAGCCTACATGTAGTTCCATCTCAAAACTAATTGGCAATGAGGGGAGTAACACATGAGGTATATATGTTGAGTTCTAGAATCTTCATCCATCCATGTGGGACAATGGAACATGAGGTCATTTCTTTCTTTCATTCATTTAACATTTACAACAATGAAATAATTGAATAAAAGTTTCAAAGCTTTTCCTCGTACTTAGTTTTTATTTCTTAGGGGTGAACTAAAGTCAAATTTGCAATGTGGTTGATTCCAATTTCTAAATCCTTTTTACTCCATCATCGCGTCTTTTTTACTTGTCTTTAGGTTTTTCTTTTTCTAAATGTAATGGTTGCTTGTTTAACGTGGTGATTTGAATTATTGGATACATACATCTACTGCTGTTACATCCAAAACCATATAATATGAGAAGTTAATCCATATAGAATCTAGCTATAGCTAGATTATGTATGCTTGTAGAAGTTCAACAGAATCCAGATTTTTTTTTTATTTTTTATTTTTTTGACTTGTTGATTCCGTACTGATAAAAATCACGTATCAAAATGACTTTTTATTGAAAAGTAGATACAACTTTTCTTTCGTGAAACACGATTTACGTGAATCACTACTTTTGAGAAAAATAACTTGGCAATTGTACTGGAAAAAAATAAATATAACTTTTTACACTTCACAGCAGTATATCCGTATTATGATATTTATCTACCAGACTTAATTTCTTGTCTCCTTAGAACTCAAGGATACAGAGGTACGAGCCTATAGAACAGATCCTGTTCAAGTAAGGATACAGGCGTAATATTAATCGTCGCTTAATGTATTAAAACAATTCAGAATCATCCTTGTAGAGTTCATACTATTTGGTGTTGAGAGCAGAATTTGTCCTGTAATAACTTTGGCATTTAGAACGTCAACTGGAAACTGCCTGAACGGATCAAACCTGAAGATTTGGAAATGACTGAGAAGTTTGGTGCTGCAGCTGAAGGAAAATACGACTTGTATTTACTTACATAGATGTAAATCCATAATAAATAATTATACATTCATATGAAAAAATAAAAGCAAAACAAACCAAAAACCTTTCTCGAAATAAAAGTATTTGTATATGGTAATGGAATACTATTCGCTGCATATAGTGTTCTCTCCCACCTTTTGTTCTCAAACAATTAAGGAAATTAATACGTAATAAAAATGTATTACATTTTGCAATATGATTTGCATTTTGTACCATATACTACTTCTTCTGTCCTAAAATTATTGTCCAGTTTGAAATTTCACTTTTAGTACAATTTGAACTAAAAATAAAAACCCAAACTGGACAATAATTACGGGATGGAGGGAATATAAGTTTTTGATATGTGCTTCGGTTATCTGATTACAATTCAAGAACATTGGCAAATGACAATCATGAAAATCTTATCAAAATTTCCTCTTTTTTTCTTTTTTGAAAAGGATGCAAAATTTCGTTGATTAATACGAAACAATGAGTGTCAAACGGGAGGGCATTATTGTGAGTGTAATGAGGCTGTGGTTTCTAGGGAACTCATAGTTCTTGCTAAATAATTTGCAGTGGCGTCGACGTCCTGATAAACATGTCGAATCGTGATTGTTTGAGCTAAATTAAATCCTATGAGTTTTTTTTTTTTTTTTTTTGGAAAAGGACTGAGTTTTTGCTAAACTCGTACTATGACAACCCAGAGAATCTTGGGATGATTTATGTTATTTTCCACTTGATGTGAAGCGGAAAAGGACAGGACGAATATTGAGGCAAAGGGCAAGGATTAACGTGGACTTACGTTATCTACCATGTACTCCTTTTTTTTCCCCAGAACACGAAATATGTTACGACAAGAAGGATTCATTCATTGGAAATTACATTTCTTTTATATATTAATCTGTCTTGGAAAAGGTTTGACAAATACTGTTGTGTTCAAGTGAAACATTCACAAAAGCGATTGGGGGGACAGGAGACCTATGATTCATTCATTTGCGACGTAGCATTTAACGTGAAAAATCAATAATATGATTAATTAATTAGGGAATGGCAGGAAAATAGGCTTTCTTATTAAAAAGAATTTTTCACATACATCTCCAAATATTGTTTAATCCGGTAAGCAACTATAACAATAAAAAAAAGAACTCATTTTGAGACGGAGCTAGTAGAATATTCATTTTTTTTTCCATGTTATTGGCTTACGCTTCCCCCCAATAAAGTAAAAAAGACGTACTTTACGATATGAAATAGAATAAAACTTTGAAGTTTTGGCCAGGTACTTACTTTTTATTTCTTAGTGTGAACTAATTCGAATTTATCATACATGGTTGACTTTAATTTGAAAACCCTTTTTGGCTTTCTGAATCGTCTTTCTTTTTCTCACTATATGATATTTTATAATAATCTCTCCATCCTAAAAAAATCCACATTGACTTTTAAGATTGAAAAATTACTTCCTCTATCTTAAAAAAATAATCCAAATTGATTTTTGAGTCTTTTTTGGGGACAGATAAGATTTTTTTTTTTTAATGTGATGATTGCATGTTTAACTTGGTTGACAAGTAACTACAAAGATGTAACATGAAACATGATTTACATGAATAACGCCTTTGTCAAGACTTTATTTTGCACTTTGTAACTCAGTTGATTGCTCTAGCATAATATTTTTCTTTCTTATTTTCTATATTTGCAGGATATTCTTTATTTCTAATAGTGACTAATCCCTGTACTAAATTATAATACCTCTATGATGAGAACAGCTGGTAAAAAAAAATAACAAAAAAACTAATGAGTGGAATACTTGATTGAAATGATCAAGGGCTAAACTTTAAGCACCGCCAAATACATTAAAACATATTCAGTGTGGAAACTTTACATTAGTCGATTTCTATAATCTTATGCGTAGTTCGTTTTATAGTTGTTTGAAACGTGCTCAATATGTAAACTTGCTTTACTTTTTTTTACGGACAAAACTCATTTGGGTTTTGGACTTTTTGGGTTTAAGAGATTAACAGAAGAGGTTGACTTTTTGGATCATTTTCCATTTGATAAGATCACAATTTCAATCATTTCTCAAAGGGGAAAAAATACATAGCCTTCATTACAAAAAAAAAAAAAAACACCGAAACATGTATTAATTCCCTCATGTTCTTGTTATGAAACATTTCATTTGCCCTAAATTTCATCTAGTATATTTTTTCTAATTGAAATTAAATCCTTACAAATATATTTTCACATTTATTATGATCTCCCACTTATTACAAATTACTGTTAAGGTTTTTATTTTTAATTAAAAAAACATAATAAGTAAAATTTTGGACAAATCAAATATCTTATAATAAGAATAGGAGGGAATACCTTCTAAACGCTATTTAACACTAGGCCAATCTTTTTGGGTATTCAAGAAAAAATCAAACTCATCTGTAGAGGAAGACATACCAAGGGTTTAAATATAAACAATCAGACCAGAAAATTATATTAACCCTTTCTAGCCAAACAAACTTCCATGTCTACTCACCAGTAAAAGAAATATCGTGATTATCCATAGCCACATAATCTCGTCAATATGCAGCAATTCATCTTCTTGTTTTCTTTGTTTCTCCTTCTACCTTTCTTTTTGTTGCTTAGCAAAAGACTTAAAATCCATGAAACTCAAAAACCATTACCTCCTGGTCCATCAAAACTCCCATTCATAGGGAATTTGCACCAAATGTTTGGTTCACTCCCTCATCACACACTCCAAAAATTATCACAAAAACATGGTCCATTAATGCATTTGCAACTTGGTGAACTTCCCACAGTCATTGTATCATCACCTAAGCTAGCCAAAGAAGTCCTGCAAACCCATGGCCTTATTTTCGCGGACCGACCAAACCTTACCGTCGCGAGAGTTATGTCACGCGACAACAACTGCATCGTCTCTTTCGCTCCTTATGGCGACTATTGGAGGCAAATGCGACAAATTTACATAGGGGAACTGCTGAATGCGAAAAGCATTTGGTCTTTTTCGAGCATTTTGGAGGATGAACTCTCGAACCTAATGAAATCTATTCAATCCCAGAAGGGCAAACAAATCGTTTTCGGGGAGATGATTATGTCATGCTTGTATTCAACAATTTGTAGAACTACAGCTGGGAGGAAAGAAATATGCAGAGACGACAAAGAGGCATTGATTATGACAGCCAGGGAAACAGGATCGCTCACTGGAGTTTTCAATCTTGGAGATCTCTTTCCTTCTTCAAAGCTTGTACAGTTCATGGTTTCTATGAAACCATATAGATTGAATGATCTGAGGAACAAAATCGATGGCATCCTCGAAAATATTATCAATCATCGCGAAAACAGCAAGACTAATGATGATTCGGAGGAAGATATTCTTGATATTCTCTTAAGGCTTGAAAAGAGGAATGACTCTCAGTTCACTATCACCCGAGATCACATCAAAGCCATCATTTTCGTAAGTACTTCCTTCCTTCGTCCCAGAAAAATAATTCACAGTATCTACTGTTTTTAGTATGAATCATAAAATTCAACCTGGATTTAAGTATTGGGACAGTCGGAAAAACTTCTCGAATTCACGAATAAATTACTTATACTCCCTCTGTTCTAAAATTATTGTCCAGTTTGAGATTTCACTTTTAATACAATTTGAACTAAAAGTGAAAACCCAAACTGGACAATAATTATGGGGCGGAGGGAGTATTATCTTTCAACAATGTAATTTTTGTGCTTTCATTACAACAACCCAGGAACTTTCAATAGCCGGAAGTTTAACTTCATCGGTCCTGGTTGAGTGGGCCATGTCGGAATTGATAAAACATCCAAGGGTTATGGAGCGGACACAATCCGAGATAAGGGAGGCATTAAAAGGAAAGGAGAGAATCACCACAAAGGACACCACGGAATTAAAGTATCTGAACTTTGTGATCAAAGAAACTTTGAGGTTACACCCTCCAGGCCCATTGTTAGCCCCAAGGCAAAGCAGAGAACAATGCGAAATCGGAGGATATATGATTCCGGCCGGAACCATAGCGGTTATAAATGCATGGGCTATTGGAAGAGATCCGGAATGCTGGAATGATCCTGAGGAGTTTAGACCCGAGAGGTTCCAAGATAGTTCTGTTAATTTTATGGGAACCGATTTCGAGCTTATACCATTTGGTGCTGGAAGAAGAATTTGTCCCGGCATAAACTATGGTGTTAACAGTATTCAGCTTTTACTTTCTCATTTGCTCTATCACTTCAACTGGAAACTTCCTCCAGGGATTAAACCTGGGGACTTGGACATGACTGAGAGGTTTGGAGGTGCTGTTTCAAGAAAGCATGGGCTTCGTTTACTTGCCGAAGCATACAATGAATAAGTTATAATACTTTATTTACTTGTTCAAACATACAATGAATAATTTATTTATGATACTCTCTTCGTCCTGAAATGATATTTCAACATTTTTTTTTATATTTTTACTGGAGTTCTAAGGATATGGATAGATCCGGTAGCACCAGTTAGTTATCAACTACATTAGTACACTCTCCAGTCTCCACACTTTTCTATTTTATAGTCCCCGAAAGAGCGATGTACGAATGCGATGTATGGAACTCGAATCTAGATGGAAAACTTTAACTAGGTCTAAAATGACAATTGTCATTTTGTGAAAATTGGTCCAATAATTGCAGTTCCATAGGCAAAGGTGGATTTTTTTGTAGCTTTTGGTTAAGACACCAGCTCCCGTTCTTAATGAAATCCATGATATTTCAAATTAGAAGTTGCTCAACATGTTAATGAGGCGAATAAATAATTAAGATACACCTCACATAATAAATGGGATCAAGATTTCTTGTTGGCTGTGACCGGTGTAGACATTACATTATAAGATAAAGATTACTTGTTGGTGACGGTCATGAGAAAGTGAACATATTACAATTTTTTTAAAAAAAAATAGAAGGATGCTCTACATCTATGCAGAATTGTTTCAATATTAATTGCAAATAAAAATTTTAAGAGGGTTATAATTATTTTTAACGCTACAAAGAAAGCAGAAAGTGATCACTAATAGTTATGATCAGAATATATTACAATTTCTTCCTTCTTCTTTTTTTCAAAATAGAAGGATGCAACCCAGATGACAACAATTGGTTGGGTAAGTTATAACCTCGATTCTAAGTGTGGTCTCCAAATAGTTTGGGAAAAGAAATACACCAATAGACTTCAGTGACCAATATGGTGACAGATGCAATGGCTACTTTCAGGGCATTCATATATGTTGGGAATACATATTTTGGCAAATCCGCCTAACGGAATAGTAGATTTAATGTGTAAGGATATAGTAAGGCTAAATCAACCTGGGTAGTCCGTTGTAATTTCCCAGTTTTGTAGCTTGCTAAATCCTAAATACTAAAAAGAAAAGAAATAAATTAAAAATAAATAAATTCTGAGCAGGACGCTACAAAAAGGACTGGAACTCTCACACGAATGGCAACAAACTTAATAAGAGTATAACACGTGGTCGGCAGGATTCGAACCTGCGCGGGCAAAGCCCACATGATTTCTAGTCATGCCCGATAACCACTCCGGCACGACCACTTCGTTGCATACATTGTTCAAGAAAAATAATTATTATCAGATAAACCAAGACATCAAAAGCAAAAACCGATGTTTTAGTCTTAAGATTTGGAGCAACCGTAGAATTAGCCCCAAACTACCATAAAACCTATAAAAATTAAGGCTCTTAGAAATTATTAGATGCTTGCCCGGGCCAATGCCTTGGGGCGCCTGTATCTTAAAATTGTTGAATAAAAAATTATAAGTGAAAAAGTATATTTTAGAGTAATAATATGTATTAGGATGATATTATAACACAGATCACGATAACATGGAATTTTGTACTTCCTCCGTTCCATAATTATTGTCCAGTTTGGGTTTTCATTTTTAGTTCAAATTCTACTAAAAGTGAAATCTCAAACTGAACCATAATTTTAGCACATAGGGAGTACGTGTAAGTAAATAACAAATTCTTTTTTGGACCGAATACACTTTTGGTTCCCCAAGTTCTGACGGTAACAAGATCGAGTCACCATGAATTCTCAATTGGCAAAAATAATCCCCTAAAATATTTTTCTCATCAATTTTAATTAATTTAACAGAAATTTTTCAAATTTAACGATCAAACTTTGTCACCGTTAAGTCTTTAATTTTTTATTAGTTTCTTTATGAATGATGGGGTCCACTAGTTTGACCTAACAAAAATTTTCTTTTATTTTCATTTTCTTTTTATTTAAGATTTAATAGTATTAAAAAATAAAAATTTCTTTTTCCTTCATCCTTGTTCGGCGAACTTTCTTCACTTTCACTGGCGACAATTACGATTTGAAGTCGTTATGAAGGAGAAAATTTTTGGTTTTCTAGGTAATTTTGCCATTTGGGTTTTGTTTGATATAGGAATTATCTCTATCCTTTGGAGTTTGGATATTGCTCTGGATTTCGAGGCTATTTGATTCTGGGTTGTTGAAAAGATTGATGCTTGATCGTAGATACGATTTGGTGGTTTTTTCCTGGGTTCTTCATTTCTTGTTCATATTATAGGGTAGAAAAAGTTTCATTCAGCCGAATTGAAGATTTTCTAGTGGAGGATGAAGATGTCTGATTCAAACCCTTTTGCTTCGGAAAAATCCCTCTTTGATAGAATTTCCACCGGTTTGTTTGGTACCCAGTATAATTCTCCTCGTCGTCCTCTGATATTGAGGGCTTGAATCCGTACTCCCTGGAAGAAGATGAGTTTGTAGCCAAACTAAAGAGCTCTCAAATCTTCGAACAAAAAGAAACCTTGGCTTCTCTACGGAAAATGACCCGAACCCAGGAGGAATTACGGGTCCATCTCTGTACTCATCGTCTTTTACCAACCATCCGGCCGCTAATCACCTCGAGATACGCTTCCATACAGGTGAATACTATCGTGTCGTTGGTTAATCTATTGTTAGAGAATCAAGACAAGGTGAAGATGGTCAGGTCAGGAATCGTTCCCCCTTTAATTGATGTTCTAAAAGGAAGGTTGCCGGAATCGCAGGACCACGCCGCCGGGGTGCTATTTAGCCTGGTACTTGAGGAGCAGAACAAGACTGCACTTGGGGTTTTGGGCGCTTTGCCCCGGTTTGAATTTGGTGGTGGCAGAGGAGGTGAGCGAGGTGGTGGTGGTGGCGGCGGCGGGGATGGTTAGCCACCGTTGTTGTTTCCATTATTTGTTATTATTGGAGGATGAAAAAATCTTCATAAAAAGAAATTTATTAAATCTTAATAAAAAGAAATAAAAAAGACAAAATAATTTTTTTTGTTGGTCAAACTAGTGGGCCCCACTGTTCAAGAAATTAATAAAAATTAAAGACTTAACGATGAGAAAGTTGACCCGTTAAAGTTGAAAAAATTCTGTTAAATCAATCAAAATTGATTAAAATAATATTTTAGGCGACTATTTTTGCCAATTGAAAATTCATAGTGATTCGATCTTGCTACCCTCAAAAGTTGGGGGACAAAAAGTGCATTTTGTCCTTTTTTTATACAATTCTAATCGTATTAAAAAATCTTTTGTTTTTTTACCTACGGGTCATGCTCATTGACTAATAACAAATTACAATACTATTGGGATAATATCTCTTGAACTAACAAATAAACATTCGGTGGAATCCTGATTGTCATAATGGAGAGTTGATCCCTCGGTATTGATCTCCCGTGATAGTATGATGGAATTTCCTTGGTTTTTCCGTTGTTAGGTTTTAAGTCAAATTTTAAGGATTGATATCTTCTTGATTGAGCCAATTGTCTGCTGGAGCAAAAATATTAAGGGAATCGCCTTCATTTTCATTGAGCCAATTATATTACATTGAACAAAAATACTTGATTGAGTTATTGTATATTTGATTGAACCAATTGTATGCTGGAGCCAATTTTCATTTAACCATTTTGTATTTACAAAGATTGGGGAGGCGTTACTCGCAGTAATGTTTCACATGATTTAAGAAGATTTTTTTACATTTGATTTTATCAATTCAAGTGTCTTCTTTTAAGGCATTAGTATATAGATATAATTAGTAGATTAGTATGGAGCTATAATTAAGGGATTTGTTTATTTATTTATTCTATCTTTTTTTTTCTGAATAGTTAGAATGTCACATGTCAGAAATGATTTTGTACTGAAAATAGTTTTTAGCGGAAAGATTTTTATTGTGTTGCCGACACATCAGCAATTTGTATGCTGCTTTAATTAAGTACTATAGATTTATTTATTTTATCTTTTTTTTTCCTGAATAGTTAAAGTGCCAAATGTCAGAAATGATTTTGTATTGAAAATGACTTTTAGCGGGAAAATTTTTATTGTGGTGCCGACACATCAGCAACTTGTATACTGTTTTAATTAAGTACTATAAATTAGCTTATAGAGCTATTAATTCATCGATAAATTAATATTTTTTTTAATTTAAAGAGTTTTTTCAATTCTATATTTAATAAAATACAAAAATTTATTATTTTTGTAGCAAGAAAAGTTTGTTTCAGCACTAGGCATAACAATATAATTTCTTTATGAAACAAAAACATGATAACTACAAATATAAATAAAAATACTAAAGTTAAAATATAAGTTAATGTTCAAATCTAATTTATTATTTTAGGTATTTATTAATTTAGGAAATTTTGGGGATGTATATTTACATAGAAGATTCTTGAAAACATATTATCTTATAAAGAATCGAGTTTTTTCTTTTTTTGTACTGGTTCCGAGTTGGGACCTAAAAATATTATTTAATAAGTTATTAATTAAAAGAATTAATTTAGGGAGATTTTAATATATTCATGTATTGGGATTTTCTCTAAAAGTTTAAACAAGTGATGGAAATTAGTCTTTTAGTTTAATTTTAGAAATTCTTGAGCAGTTGACTGCATTTCTTCAAACTTTGCCATATTTTTTGTTATTAATAGTGCCAAGTCATCACTTCTCTGTTTAATTAAACTTTTTTTTTATGTTAAAACATTTTATTTTTCTAATCATGATTTTTTATGATTAAATAAAAAAGTGATACGCCATCTTTTTATAAAAAAAATGTTACAGTTAAATAGAAAAAATGATGATTGTACACTTTTAATAATAATTATAAAAAATAGATAATGATTTATGTAAGGAAATTTTATATGAAATTTCTAAGAATGAATCATAACCGTCCATACCTACATTTTAATGGTTCATATATTTGACGGTTAGGGAATAATTAGGATTCAACTAAATCATTTCTTGTAAATCTACATGTCAAATTTTCCCTATATATACCATTACTTAAAAAAAAAAATTGTCAATTGACAACAAACGCAGGTAACTCTTAAGAAATCCTAAAATTAATGTAAACCGTAAAGGACTTACTTCCATGATTCCTTCACTTGTCCAAACTTTATGGGATAAATTTCAACAGTTGAATAGTTTGTGACTAAACTCTATAGCTTCCCCAAACCTTGGGACCAAAACATTGGTTTTCCCTCGATATGAACTTTGTTTCCCTCGCTCCACTGAAAGCTGCAACTCATTTGAGTTTTCATTGTTTTCATCCATGGCCCTTTGCCATGAATTCTATACGCACACATCAAAACGGCAATTCTTCCTAAACTGCTTTTTTGTTCTTCCCGCTAGTTCTCATCCACACTTCCGGCCTTCGTTTCTAATCCACTGTGACTTGTGCGCCCGCCCAGTTAACCATTTTTGTTTCTTAGTTGAGGTGAGTTCTTGAGAACTGCTTCTTGTGTTTTCGCGTTTGTACCTTTACTTCTCGGGCGTTCTATATGTTTTTTGGGTGTGCGGTATTTATGGGTTTTCGTTCTTTAGTGATCAAAAAGAGGCTAGTTGTAGTTTGGTTAGTTCTGTACATCTATGCTTAGTGTTTGATTATTGGTCTCAAACACATCGGTTTCTGTCTGAAGCTTCCAACAGATAATGGTCAATTCCAAATTGAAATTCTGAATAGCAAAAAATATTTTATTGCTTCAATTCCTCTTCGTTTGGCTTATAAATTCATCTGTTCTGTCAGTAAATTAAGAGGATTTGAGTGATGAAGAAAACAAGGTCACATCAGAACTGAAATTCTAGGGAGTTGGATGATGATATGTGTGATTCTTAGAGATTAACAGGTTTTACCTATGTTGGTGATTAAGTGTGATTCATACAGCATGAGTGACTTCAGCTTACTTAGTTAAGTCAATCACTGTATTTGTGTATATATCTTTCCTTTGAGGTAGGGCTATGTTTGGGCAAGTTCCAATTTTTTTTAACTGAAGGGTGTGTTTATGATGCATTTCAGGTTTGACTGTGCGCATTTCTTGAATCTCGGGTTGGTTGAGGGTTCTTGCTACGGCTTTAACATTATTCAGAGGGATAAAAAAAACCTATCCTTTAGTGTTTTATCCATCTGCATATTTTACAAGAGGACATGACAATGTCTACTGTTATATGGGAAGCATGCAAACGCAAACTGGAAATCAAGACAAGCAACAGCCTGTTCAAGTGAAAGCTTCTCCACAAACCCAGTTGAAAAAAGTTGATGAGTTGTTGAAAGATTATGAGGCCGTCATTGGGATAGTGACCGATGTGCAGCTTAAAACTTTAACTAAGGCCATTTGTGGTTCTCCTTACACTTATAAATTATAATGCTCAATCTAATACTAGGATTTGCCCTGTTTGTATGAGGTTGCCAGGGTCATTGCCAGTCTTGAATTCTAAGGTCATCGAATGTGCAGTGAGAGTTGGCCCAGCCCTCAATAGTAAGTTGTCTTTAAATTCGAAGTTCGATGGAAAACAAAACTACTATCCAGACCTTCCAAAAGGCTATTAAATATCGCAGTTTGATGTTCCAAATGCAACTAGTGGTGATATTAATGTGGATCTTCCGGTTCAGTTCGGTGGGGGTCACAGAAAGTTTGGCATTACTAGAGTTCACATGGAAGAGGATGCTGGGAAATTATACTGGCACTGGGAGTTATTCTCAGGCAATTCATCTGTCTGTTTAAAAGAGCACTTGGTTTGAAAATCTGTTTGAACATCATTGTTAAATGCATTTCTCAAGCTTTTACAATGTCTCATATCCTGTTGTTTACATTTCATTAGGTTGATGTAGGAAGGTAAGGGTGGGGGATGGTGACCACGAAGTTGAAGATTCTTATTTTGATGTAAGCAATCCCAGAAAATAAGTAATCATTAGGTAGAAACTGGCAGTTAATTACTCCTTGGTTTGCATGTGTGGACATCAGTTTTTCTATGATTGAGGCATCTTGTTAACTTTTACGTAATTATGTTTTAAACAGTAAATTTTGTAACACCCTATGGACAATGGCAGCTAATTTGCAGCTTTGTCTATTGCATGTCAAAATAATCTTATATGAAGTTTTTATTCTTGTGCTTTAAGCTGTTATAGGCTTCTTGTTTCAAAAATGTCTTCTTTTTTTAATTCTTTTTTTTTTTTCCTGCAACAGGTGGATTTGGATTGGGCTGGAGTTCCTCCTTGAGATTGTCTCTGAACCTGACATGAAAACAGTTATTGAAGCTGCAGAATTGCAAAGGTTATTAGATATTTGGGAGTCAGTAATGGGAACATGCAAGAAGGATCACTTCACTGTGATGTTAATATTATCAATCCGTGCAGTTGGGCAGGAAGAATTTGGTACAAAGGTAACTAGGGTGCAAGTCTTCTCATTTCCTTGTTTTGTATGTTTTGGTGAAAGTTCAAAAGCCAACCTCCTTCTTCAAACAAATTTGTGTACAATATCATGGTGCAAAGTCAACACTTTTAATGTCAGCATAGTTCTCTGTTACGACAAATGTCTGGCGTGCAGATTGTTCAATGTCCAACATTACAGATTCAATCTTGTTTGGCACTGGTCCGGCAGATGGGTTAGATGATAAAAATTATAACCATTTGATAGATATATTAAAATTTGTCTTTTGCTGATTCATGATACATATGCTGATCGCTGTTTAGTAAGATTCATCATGAATGTGGAACAATAAGAGCAGCGGTATCATGGTTTAGCGCCAAATTATACAGGCTAAAATTTCATCAGTTTAGCTGCTTATTGCCTTTGCATTATTAAGCTGATCCAGTGAAATGGATTGGCAAGGCATGCTCTAGTTTTGTGTGGTTAAAGGCTCAGGTCCTGATAGCTAAGCCACTTGTATTTGTTAATAGGTCGAAATAAAGAACTTGAATTCGTTCTCATAAGTTGGTTGGGCCATTGATTACGAGATATCAAAACAGGTACTTCTTAGCAGTCAAGGTCAGGCTGATCAAATTGTACAAGAAACCATCTCTTGCAAGAGTTGGTCTTTTGCAGCTTCTAGAAGTCAATTGATATTGTAAACCTTTTTACTTTTTTTTTTTTTTAATAAAACCTTTTTACTTGTAGAAAACAAGAACAATGCTAGAAAAGGAAGGACTTGTCAATTGATACTTCCAGAACCTGATCTTCCTGAAGTTTTGCATCAGTGAGGAACATGTTGATGACATTCAAAATTCTTTAGCTGAACTTGCAGAAATGAAGCGTAGCAGGTATGAGAAAATGGGTCCTAGTATGCAGGATGTTCTTTTCTTCACCAATGATATAAGTGTAACTTCTGCTTCAATTGCAATTTATTTATTTACTTTTGTTTCGGGACCTTTAGGGATTGAAGGATCTGTTGCACATTCTGTGATCTTGCTAGAACATTGGCACTAAGGTTTTGACCACACTTTTTCTTTCCTGGAGTACGAATGCGACAAGTTTCTGTATATGAAAAATGAAACAAAATGGACTGAATTGCTGAATAAAACAAGAAATATGTTGATAGTAATATTTATGCAAGTTATGAGCATGTTCAGCATCAATGGATCAAGAAGTGGACGCAATGTTGGGTTTTACACTTTTAGTGGCTTTCAAATAGTTAAGCAATTTAAAAGTTTGTTAAACAAATATTTTTCTCAGATGATTTTAAGCATCATTCAACAACAGGAACAAAAACAACGACAAGTGTTTTTTCTGCATTTTTTTTTTGTGTTGGGGGCGGGGGAGGACATGATTACTATAATTTGTTCCTTAAATGTTTCTTCTAGTATATCCATAATTCAGGCATTCTATTTTTTGTACATTTTCAACCCATCTTACTGCTGGTCAGACTACTTTGCTATTCTTCTTCCTTCTTACCCAATTTTTGTCACTGTATTTTGCTGAGAATTTATTCAGCTTTGTGTGCTCATGGATGTTAAGGTACTATAATATTATTAACAAATGCTTGCTCTGAGAAATTCCTTAATAACAACAAGCAAAGGCCCGTCACCTCAATGAGGAGTAGGCGTTGTTTATCCTATTGTTGTAGAGATTCAGCTTAAGTGTTTCTATTTTCTCAAATTCTGCAGATACAGTTTGAACTCATGGCTAAGGGTTAAAGGACTGATAAAAGGAAAGGACTTGGTTCAAGCAATTCAGCTGTTCATCCTACTTAGTTTGAAAATGTTTTTTTTTTAAATAAAAAATACAAATTCTTTTGCCGTCTTACATTACTTGAACTTTGTTTCCACAACCTTATTACTTGAACTTTGGTTCAGTGACGTATATTAAAGTGTTTATAGGCCTGTTTTGATCTTGACTTTGTTATCATTCTATTTATTTCCTTCAAAATCAGATTACTGAGCGCAGTGAGATAGGGAAAATGGTAGATACAGTACTTCCTGATAATTCAGACCAGCTTGCAAAATATCTCTCTGGTAAAAAGTAGGGTGCACGGCTATTTCTCTGGCCAGATATTCCGACAAAAATTCAGTTTTCCTTTTTTATTGCCATTTAATAAATCTCCTGCATCAGTTTACTCTTTCATCGATATTCTCACTTTCACAAAATCTCCTGGCAATGAAAGAATGAAAAGGCAAGGCAAACCCAAAACTTTTGAACCAGAATCCAAAAAAAAAAAAGGATTCCAAAAGATAATTGTCCGACTGTGACAACCTTCAACAGCCCTTTTCAGATTCTTTTCCTGTTCTCAAGTTTAAATTGTGGCTTTTGGATGAACTCATTTCTTGGAACCAAGTTAATATGTTTTGAAGAAATTTGTTGGTATAACTTTGTAAGTCCCCTCTTGTGCAAGCTATCTACCATCACCACATATTGTACCGGAGCTACTGGTGATTGATGATCCATATCCCTTTTATATTAGATTGCAATAATTTTGTACTTCATTCTTAGAGCATCTTCTGGTGTTCCCTGATCGTTGCTCAGAGTGATTTATTAAACACTTTGCTAAATTCCTGGAACCCTTGGCTGTTCACAGCGAGGCTTGTTTTGATTACTGCAACATAAACATTCTTTCTCCTTGTAATACAATTATACTCTTATTAGAGGTTACTGTCCAATTTTCAAGTTTATGTTCTTTAATTTCTTTTTAAGGAAATTGATCATTTGACTTCTCTTGACGAGGTAAAACGTTTATCTTAGGATTGGAATGACACGTTCAAATGCTGCCTTGAAAGGTTGAAAAGACTACAAAAAGAATTGATGGTCATCCAAAAACCTCTCTCACCATTTATAACACATCAAACGTTTTATGTTTCTGCATATAAATATTTTTGTCATACACATATGAAAGCCTAAGGAATAATAGCCTCACGTATTTCATTGCCACTTTATACTTTTTTTATCTTGCTACCATATTTTCCATCATTCGGGAATCAGATCAGATCAGATCGGATAGAAGTGGTGGAGTAGGTGGTGGCCGTGTTTATATATATGGTGGTGGTGACTGGTGGGGCTTTGGACCATGGTAGGTGGGACCTTGCCGGCACGTAAAGTTATGGTGGTCGCAGACCCCAGCCGCGATTCAGCCGCCGCCCTTCAATATGCTCTCTCCCATGTTCTGGTTGAGAATGATACATTAATTCTTCTTCATGTTGAGAACCCTAATAATAGTGCCTGGAAAATTCCATTTAGTGCAATCTTTAAAAGGCCCTCGAACGGCTCCGCGGCCGCCTCCCAAAGGAACCCCTCTACATTCATAGAAGGTGTCATTGGTGCTGGCGGAACCAATGTAGGTGTTGAAGGAGAAGGCACCATTGATTTTCTTGAAGCAATGAAGCATGCTTGTGCGATCGTGTACCCGAACCTAAAAGTTCAAACAGAAAACATGGGAATGGATGGCAAGGACAAGGCTTCTGTGATTCTTGCACAATCCAAAGCTCATTGGGTTGAACTCCTTATTGTAGGCCAGAAGACAACCCTCTCTAACGCAATTCTAGGGTAAAGTTCTCGATCTGTTATCTCATTTTCTCACTGCTTTTCCTGTGTTGGGGGAATATGAACTTGCTAATTTTAGGAGCCATTCTTGGCTCCTGGTCATTTTGCCCCCCAAGAGATTGGAATAGTTGGCTATTTTCCATTTCCTCCCTTGCTTGTTTCTTTTCATTTCTGGACGAAAGAATCCAGAAATGAAAAACATGTGCATGATAAATCGGAAACCTTAGTGATGCACGCTCTGGAAAGAGGGAATATGATGTCTAGGATTGAAAATGAGGAATAAATCATTGGTGGTGGATGTTTGGAAAAAGAATTCTAATGTCTTGGGTTCGGACGTACCATTGCAAGTTTTTTATACAATAGGAATCCCATTATGGCACAAATAAAGTTCATTGCCTGTCATCATCCAAACCAATGTTTGCCCTCATTGGCACAAAATGATTTTCCTGTGTGTTGTACTATTTTGGGATGGGGTGAGTCCTGCTCATACTCTGCATCTTTGCCAACAGGTCTAGGCGTAGGTCATTACGAGGACTTGATACGGCAGAATTTTTGATCCAGAACAGCCAATGCACCTGTGTTGCAGTGCAGAGGAAGGCTATGGGAGGATATCTGCTAAATTCCAAAACTCACAAAAATTTCTGGTTGTTAGCTTAGGTTGTAAATATGTACTCTTAGAATGTTTACCAGTTACCACTATATGAAGTTTGTTAATTGACTAGAACATGTTCTTAGAAATGACTTTTTTGCTTTCAACTTTTACTACTTTGTTGCAATGAAATAGATGCACATACATCCAAACACATGCTATTATCAAATAGGTGAAACGTAGGCAAAATACTTTACACCCCCAAAAAAGAAGGAAAGACCGAGAAAGAGTGTCTACTCCTCTAGTTCATTAGGTTTTGAATATAAGACCTTGCTTGAACAGGATCTGTTCTATGGCGTCGTACCTCTGTATCCTTGAGTTCTAAGGTTTTGTTTATGATCACTCTGTCAGCTGTATTAGTTTCAGAAAGCAAAGAGCTAGGGAACATGCTGCAAAAGATTACGTTCATAATCTCTACTTCCAACAAATGCTGCAGAATGTTTAAAGCTCATCATGCATATCCAATGGTATATCTAATATGGGAACAGCTTCCTGATTTACTTGGGGAGGCCGAATGTTCACACCATCTCTGGCAGCTCTGGGTAAAATCTCTAATTCTTTTACCGTAGCAGCTCGACAGCATCCATTAGCTTCCTCTGCAGCTTAAGTAGACCAATACGCTTCAAAACGACATACAGAACAGCAATGGTAAACAAAGGAACCCAACAATGATGATTATTACCCTGTCAAGAACAGCCAAGCATCAGACTGGTGATGATACATCAGAAGTGGAGTTTTATGCTTCTTTGTTTCTTTTATCAGTACCTGTCAAGGACATCCTGACGTTGCATAGTGGAAAGAAGATTCCAAGTACGCATCAGCAGTGACCAATGACCCTGATACTCACTCTCAGCTTTGTCGATTATTCTGCAGAAATTAACATTATATCATTATACATTATAGATTAGTTTATGAATGGAATAACCAACAACCGGTAACAAGCTAAAACTTTTAGAAAAGTGCATTTCCCTCCAAAGAGTATCAAATCTAGAAAAGAACTTACCTAAAGTCATAAGAGTGCTTGCACTTCTTTCAACTTCCTAGAAGAATTGAATACCCTGGTGAGGAAAACCGAAAACCTAAGTACTTCCTAGAAGAATTGAATACCATGGTGAGAAAAACCGAAAATCTAAGCAAGGGAAATGACAAATACAAGAAAGAGAGATACTAAACCTGAACCATGAGCGCGTCAAAGGCTTTCTGTGATGCTTTCAGCAGCAGATGTCATCCCAGCTTCTGTCCTAATAGGTATTACTCATAAATACAGTTCAGAACCTCAATACAGCGACCAAAGAAGCTATCAGTCTGAATTTTCTGCCCAGAACATTGAAGCTCTTTGCAAGGTAAAATATTGTAAACTAACTGTAATTTGCGTCGCCGAGCAGTAGACTCTCCTCCACCTCCAAGAAGAAGCTCAGCTGCCCAAAGAGAAGTTTTCATTTAGCTTTCCGTACAAGATTCTCGTCCACAATACATATCATTAACAATAAATGGCTCCAAAATGAGAAGTACAACCAGAACCAGTTACCTCTTGTTGAGCAGTTCTTTTGAGGTTCTCCTTCGCTTGCAGGTTGGCATGTCTCAGACTCAACCGCAAGCTAAATGTATAAAATTAGAGAAGAAAATGAACTGATCTCTGCTTCTCTGCTTCTTCAAACCTCATTTTCACTTTCTCCATTTCCTCCACCATTGGGTCCATTTCTTTTGTATTTTGATTTTTCCCCTCTTGCTGGCTCTCAGAAACAATTTTTGGCTCAAATCATCAACCCAAACGATTCGCTAGTTAATATCCCTCTGATTTAACAAAGAAAAAATGCAGCGAAATTCCTCAGCAGAGACAATATCGCAGCGCAGAGAAGGATATTTGGGTGTCAAAAATGAAATATGTAGCATCTGCAATGAAGCTTCTCCGACACAACATTGCTAAACAAATTGAGTTTAGCAATAGTTAGAGCAATTGCTGCCGTTGAAGCCCTCATGGTATTCTGCCAGGTCATGATAAAATCGCCATTACAACTTCCCTTCTAAGGTCCCGAAATCATAAAAATCTATATCGCCGGATCACATCCTGATGCCAATGGTGATTGTCAAGGAGGGACCTTTTCAACGCCGGAGATGGTGAAGCCGATGATTAGCGACGTTCCGGCGGCTGAACTTGGAGCTACTGGCGTGGTCACAATCTCTGCCACCTCCAACATTTGAGATACTTCATCTCCGTCGACCTGCTAGAACCCATGATTGATCAAATTCATCAACAAAAAATTTGGGCCAGCTCAAAACCAAATACTGATGACTCAGAAGTGCCTAGTATATACGGTCTTTGGTAGAAAAAGATTAATATCTAAAGATAATCCTATACATTACACCAAATGTGCATTTGGTCCTCTACATTATTACAGGCTAAAATGGTACTGTATTCTTATGAAGAATCCAATTCTGGTATCATAACGTTGAGAAGAAGAAAGAATTGATCAAAAAACTAAGAAGAAGCAACTCTGCTTTTGACTGATTCAAAATGGAGGAAAAAGCTCAGCTGAAAAGTGTGAATGAATTTCTTCTGTATTATGTTGATTATGTACAAGAGATTTACAAGTATATATACCAAATTAAGTCGGCTAATCTTTGCTACTGTCACCTAACTATCACTCTATATACATCACTGCCTATACAAACTAATATATATACATCACAGAACATTTAATCACAGTCAGTCACGCTAACTTTGCTTCTAAGCGTGCTGATCAAGCTATGTACTTCAGGAGACAGCTGTGTCTTTCCTGAATCTTCTTGGATCTTCCAAATCAGCCGGATTTCGTGTTGCACTGGAAGATTTGATTCAATGCTAGCATGTGCACGATGCTGCTGTGTTACTATTGCTAATGTGGAAGGCTGAACATTCAACATCCCCCCCTCAAGGTGTGCATGGATCATACGCAACTTGGACATAAGAGTCTGAAAAGTGGTGGTGGGAAGTGGTTTGGTGAAGAAGTCGGCGGTCTGAGAAGTAGTAGGAACATGAAGAGGGCTGATAAATCCTTAAACATAGGCCTCCCGAACGATGTGGCAGTCGATATCAATATGTTTCGTTCATTCGTGGAATACCGGATTTTCAGCTATATAGATAGCAGCCTGATTGTCAAAATGTAGAGGAATTGGAGTCTTGAAGGAGATCTGAAAATCACGAAGGATATACGAGATCCACTGAAATTCTCGAACAGTATAGGCCATTAATTGGTATTCAGCTTTGGCTGAAGAACACGAAACCATTGATTGCTTTTTAGTCTTCCAGGAGACTAAGCAATCGCCGAGAAAAACACAATATCCCGTCAAAGAGCACCTGGTAGTACGATAGGTGCCCCAATCTGAGTCACAAAAGGCAATCAGATCAAAGGAAGTACTGCTAGAATTAAGAAAACCACGATTAATTCATCCTGAAAGATAATGAATAACGTGCATTGCAGCAGACCAATGAGATTCATGTGGTTTTTGAATGAACTGACTTAATTGTTGGACAGAATGTGCAATGTCAGGACGAGTGAAGTTGAGATAAAGTAATCGGCCAACAAGTCGACGATAGGAAGAAGGATCAGAAAGCAATGGTGTATCATCCTTGTCTTCAGCGGCAAATTTCAGACTGCTTGGAAAAGGAGTTGAGGTTGGCTGACAGTCCAGAAGATGTGTATCTTTCAGAATGTCTTTGATGTATTTGGCCTTACAAAGATAAATTCCTTGAGGAGAATGAGCAATTTCCATGTCAAGGAAATAACGTGCCACACCAAGGTCTTTGATTGAGAAGGTTTGATCCAAAAAGTGCTTGACTGAATTGACAAGAGATTCACTAGAACCAGTGAGGAGTACATCATCCACGTAAACGAGAAGGAATAAGCAGGCACCATTCTGATGTAGATAAAACAAGAAATGATCGTGATAAAACTGCTTGAAGCCAAAAAACCAAGCAATTTTGAAGTGAACTCTTTGTTCCACTCTCGGGACGCTTGTTTTAGACCATAAAGGGAGCGTTTTAACTTGCATACTTGCCCTGGTACATCAATTGCATAGCCAGGAGGTGGAAGCATGTAGACGTCTTCAGTCAAATGTCCATGCAAGAAAACGTTATTCACGTCTAGCTGTGAAAACAATCCAACCTTTTGAAGCTGCAACAGCAAACAAGATGCGAACAGTAACAACCTTTGCTAATGGAGAGAAAACCTCAGTATAATCCTCCCCTTCTATCTGTATAAATTCCTTGGCAAAAAGACGTGCTTTGTATTGATCAATGGTACCATCCAGCTTACATTTTACCTTGTAAATCCATTTACAACCAACAGGTTTCTTTCCTGCAGGCAAAGATGTTAATTCCCAGGTCTGATTATCCTCAAGATCCTTTAAGCTCTTGATTCATAACATCAATCCAGTTCTTATTAGTTCTAGCCTTATTAAAAGTAGCAAGTTCATGAACTGTTGACAAATTAGCTAAAAACAAGTCATAATCATCAGAAATATGACAGCTGAGAAAATGATCATCAGTATAATCATTAGCGCAAAAAGTTTGCAAAGAAGGAACAGACTGACTGAGTGGAAAGTCTTGAAGTTTACTTGGCAAGTGCCTGATTCTAGTGCTCCTACGTACTGGAGGTGGAGAGGGTAAAGAAGTAGTATGCATAGGAGAGGAAAATGACAATGGTGGAGAAGATGAAATGTGTTCCGTCTCAGGAAAAGAAGAAAGGGTAACAGTGGATATTGGAACATTATCTGATAGAGGATTTACTGAGCATGGATCATCAGGTAAAGAATCTTCAACAGGTAGAGATGTTTTGGATAATACAACTGATGTATCAGAAACTGAAAGAGAGGGAAAGATGTCCTCATGAAATATGACATCACGTGAGACAAGGACTTTCTTAAGGCTAGGAACATACACTTTGTAGCCTTTTTGATTTGCAGGATATCCAATGAAGATTCCTTTGAGGGATCTTGGATCAAACTTGTCTCTGGTGGGAGTATGATCAATGATGAAAGCCAAACAACCAAAAACCTTGAGATCATACACAGGAGGTTTAGAAAATAGAAGTTCATGAGGAGACTTCCATTTGAGTAAAGCTGAAGATGTGATATTGATTAAGTGTTTGGCTGTGAGAATGGATTCTCCCCAAAAATGTTTGGGAAGTCCAGATTGAATTAACAAGGATCTTGCTACTTGTAACAAATGGCGGTGCTTCCTTTCAACAACCCCATTCTGTTGGGGTGTATAAGGACAGCTCCGTTGATGTATGATTCCATACTTGGAAAATAAATCCTGACTGAGAGTGCCAAGAAATTCAGATCCATTGTCAGTTCTAACAATCTGCACAATGGTATGAAATTGTGTTTTGACTTATTCTAGAAAAGTAGCAAGCAGATTTGGAACTTGAGTTTTATATTGAAACAGAAAAGTCCAAGTGTTTCCAGTATAATCATCGACTATAGTCAAGAAATACTGACAACGATTAAGAGATGAAACCTTATAAGGTCCCCAAACATCAACATGAATCAAAGCAAATGGAGTAGAACTTTCTATTAAACTTGAAGAAAATGGAAATCGATGTTGCTTTGACTGTGGACAAATATCACACAGACCTACATCTTTATTACAACTAGAAATAGAGGATCCTTTTGAAAGGTGATCCATTACAAGCTTGGAAGGGTGGCCTAATCGTAAATGCCAATGATCAGTAGTAATAACTGACATTACATTGGACACAGATTTATTCAAAACTAGAAAACTAGAAGGATTTCTGCAATGTAGCATACATGAAGCATAGAGAGTCTGTGATTCTTGAATAGCTTGACTGGTGAAGGAATATGCATTCAATACGTAAAGGCCTTTAACAACTTTGCCAACTGCTAAGATACTAGTAGTTTGAAGGTCCTGCAAGATGCAGAAACTTTCAAAAAACTGGAAAAACAATTTGGAATCTCGATCTAACTTGCTAACAGAGAGCAAATTGTATTTGAAGCTAGATAAATGAAGACATGCTTTAAGAGTAAGTGTGCTAGACAGAATTGCATCACCTACATGACTAACTGATTCTACACTACCATCTGGCAAGCATACAGGAGTAAAGCTTTTGACTAATTGAGGATTAGAAAGCAAATGCAAGGAACCATTCATATGACCAGTAGCTCCAGTGTCAACAAACATGAACCATGAATTACCCATTTTAAAAACAGACTTAGAACTAACAAGAGGAAGAACTGAGCTACCTGCAAAGTCTTCTATGTGGGAGAAATTGACATGATTGGTGACATCAACAGGAGCTTTGTTCTTCATCAGATGATTGATCTCCTTTTGTACAGCAGCTGCAATCTTGCCATTCCATTCATTATCATCAGTTTCAGTAACTTCTAGAGGTGTATCAACAAGATGCACATTATGTGTTCCTGATCCTTTTCTTTTGTCAGAATTCCATCCCTCGGGATATCCAATCAGCTTAAAACATTTATCCAACAAGTGCAGGCCACTGGTTCTGGAAATCCAATTATCTTATAGCAGTTCTCTTTCAGATGACCTTCTCTGTGATAGTAAGAACAGACGACTGGATCCTTGTCCTTTTTCTGATTGTTCCTTGGACGATTATTACTCTTCCAACCACCTCCTTTGTTGATCATTGCCGAATTCTCTGTTCCAGCAGCAACATTTATGCTTACTTGATGAGTTTTCTCAGCCTTGAGTATCATAGAATAGATACGATGGACATTAGGAATTGGATCAATCATCAAGATCTGATTCTTTTCTGCTTCAAAAACTTCACTCAATCCCATCATAAACTCCATTGACTTATCTTCTGTTGCACGATCATCAATCAACTTCCTGATAACATTCAGAGCATCAGTTGCTCCCAGAAGATATTGAGGTGACTTAGATGCATCAAACAGTGATTTTACAGCTCCTTCACAATTAACATCTGGACGTATTTGACCGAGTCGATCACGCAGCTGCTTAAGCTTTCCATAGTAGTGTGTGACTGGCAAATTCTCTTGTTTAATGACAGCAATCTCTCGCTTGATCTGAAACAAAAAAGACAGATTTGCAACACGATACCTTTCTTGAATTTCCTTCCACAGATCTCGTGCAGAAGTGATATACATGAATTGATCAACCAGATCATCAGAGATTGACACCAGGATCCATGATACGACCATGCTGTTGACCTTTCTCCACTTTCTAAAAAAAGGTGAGCTGCTTTTAGGTTCTGGACAACTCCCATCGACAAATCCAAGCTTGCTCTTTGCCTCTAGAGCTGTGATCATTGCAGTTTTCCAAATCAAGTAGTTGTTGTCGTTCAGAGGAGTGGATACCAGCTTCATACCAGGATGATCTGATCCATGGAGTTGTAATTGTTCTTCAAATTCTTCAATAATCAACCGTCGATTCTCTTGCAAACGTTCCTCATCAGTGTAAAATAAAGTGTAAAATAACATTATTAAATAAATGATATGACACTTACATAACAACACACTTCTCAATTCAAAATTGGACAATTATTTTACGATGGAGGAAGCATATAGATAACAGAAAGGCGATTAGGACATTTTTTTACGTAGTATAACAGTTTAGAGTTAACCCGTTTTATTCAGAATAACAATTTTTAATTATGGAATCAACTATGCCACTTTATGTGACTTGTACAGATGTCGTGTGACTCTGCCACTTCTGCTTCTATCTGGTGAAACAATTCTAAATTTCTAATCAAAATTGATCCAATAACCGATAAAGTAAACTTTAACGTTTTCCACCACACTCTCCAAATTTAGGTCCCTAAGATGTTGCGCCCTTAGCATAAGCACATTTCCTTTGCCCCAGCATTGATCATCCTAACCCTATCCTTGATTTCATGCATTTATGCTTTCTCTATTCTTTTCTTCTAAATAACTCCTATAATAGACCTCGAATAAGTATTTCCTCACAATTTTCATATTAGCCTATCAAAAATCAAAATGCTTCTAACCAAGGCGTCACCCAACTGTTGAAGCACCTCCGGCACCTCCTCTGGCCCATAGCCATCTCCCCCACTTTCTCCATCACCACCACTGCCACCTTCTCCATCAGCGCCTTCTCCATTGCCGCATAATGGATAAAAATAAATATTTATAGATTTAGTGGACTAAATTATGTTTTTGGAAAAAATAAAAAATGTTTCGTACGGTTTAGTCAAATTTGAATTGTTAATTCTCAAGCATGTGATAATAATATTCCGTTATTCAAGAGCTCATAATAATCATTTCATTCACAATTTATTATACGATATCCAAGTGTTTTTCTTCAAATTTAAGTGTGGATCATTACATTCGCAACTAAAACTCCACAATAATATCAGCATGTTAGATAATATTGTAAGCAAATATGAAAATTACATGTAAAATTGCAATTACAATACTAAAAGTGACACACGGGTGCCTGCTGCTCTATTATTTTGTTGTTTTAGCTACATTCTCATGTTGCACTTGATCACTCGAAGCTACCTTGAGAACACAAAATACGTAACTAATGACCCTTCTTTCAAATGACAAATTAGATATATGTTAATAAGCCACCACATTAAATGTTTCATCTAAACCCATACAAAAGTATCTGCCCACTAGCATAACAAAATATAGTTTCCAGCCGTAACATCTACCATCAACAAGAGAGTGGTTATTCTCGCCAATAGTCAAAATATAGGTTCTCTCTTGTGTTTCAAAGTTTCAAACAACTTCATTTCTACAGCATATGTAACTCTCGGTTTTATTTCTGATAGTTGAATCCAAAATACACCGCACTAACCAAGTCACTTAGAATTGCAACCACCACATTGAAACTTTTGCATTGTTTTGCTGGGTAAAACAATTCAGCTCTCGGGCTGAAGCTATGTATGTCTTGATTTTTACAAACATGATACATCGGTGCTCGAAAAAATCAGCGAGAATCTTTGGCAAACCATCAAGCTATACACCACTGAGTACACCATTTGACATGAGTACTTTTACATCATCCGTAGATCGAACGAGCTTACTCCACAGTTTATGGTAGCAAGTACACTAGGGAAGGATGTCATTGGTGCGGTAGATTGTTTCATATTCATCCATATTTTTCAACATCGACTCAGGTAGGCATGACCAAGCATTTCCAAGGGTGGCAAGTGCACAAATAACTTTCCCTAAATTTTTCTTGCACCGAATTGATCTAGCACTTGAATTGAGTGGTAGTGGCTTGAAATCATACCTACGTCTCCATAATCTCTCTGCTATTAACGATGATTTCCAATCGTCAAACAATCCCACCTTAGAAATCTTTTTTCCATGCTCTGTTTCTGGGCCTGTGTGTGGTCCAACAATGATGGAACAAAGAAGATGGAGCAACTCCATCGGTCTAGGGGTAGAATAATAAGACACACTAATTTCACAAGGCATCTTTGTAACATATCAAAGGCAACATATGCAAAGATAGTGTGACGAAGGTGGCTTTTATTGACTTGGGGGTGTAGCGAGAATAGCTTGTGATTGTCCAGGTAGTGTGCTATTCCATATTTGCTCCACAACAATTTTGCTTTTTCTCATTTATCCTCTTTTTTTTTTTTTTTCCCTTTTTCCTACATTGAGTTTGTTTTTTTAATATATCAACACAGTTACAAGGAATAACATGTTATTTAGTTCCCCTAATCGTCACAAAAATATCAGAATTTCAAATTCCTTTGAAAGGGATGAAGAGAAAGCCAAAACATGAAAAATGTGCTAATATATAGTAGGTTAAATTGAAAAATGAAAGTGAACAATCAAGACAGTGTGCCAGTGGTTTGTGAAGGTGAAGATGATTGTGATTGACTCCGCAGTGTAGTGGGAGTGACTTGTGATTATCCGGGTAGTGTGCCAGCTTGTGAGGGCAGTGTCACAGTGGCTATATATATGTGGTCAGAATTTCAGTTTTCAATCTGTCAAATACATTGAATTTTAGTACCTCTTGCACAACCTTGAGTGGGATTTGGTTTCCAACAAAGAGGATTGATCTCACCCAATTTTCCAATCCCAAGTGTCATCAAATAAACACTGGATAGTCTCATTCTACTCGGTTTTGAATTGTGGAAGTTCTTCATTACCATAAACTTTACGAGCCACTGCTACAAACCCAGATAGTTTCCCACATAGATTGTCAGGATTATAAGAAGACAATGCCATCACTGTCCTAGCAATGGCAGTAGCTTCCACTTTCTTTGCCCTCAACTCAACTCTTTACCCGTGTTTCAGCCGGTCGAGTGGCCCAAATGGCCATCTAGTGACCCTATTAAAGCCTTAAACTATTATAAAGTTCATGCATTCAAATAAAGTAATTAGAGTGTTGAGATCCTAAAATTTTATAATGTGAACTTAGACAGTTCCAACCACTTACTATTTGGGGGAAAAAAGAAAATGATTAGATCATTCACAAGTGGAGTTCAACTAAATATAATCTTTTGATGGTTTGGATAAATTTGAAAACTTTTATTGATACATCTCTCTTAAACATTCTGATCAGATACTCCATCATAACACGATTATAAAAGAACTGCTCATTACTTAAGTTGGTAGAAAGTAATGAGCAGTTTTGTTTGAGGAAAGGTTTTGACAAAATTGTTTTGAAAATGCATAATTATTATATTTTCATAATTTTTTTTAAAAAATACTACTTTTGTGAAAATGTCTTCCAGAAAAGGGTCTCTATCAACGAGAAGCAAAAACTCATGTTTACATTTTCACCAATGATTGACTATTATTTTTTTTTGTGTGTGTGTATGTGTGTGTGTGATAGAGAGAGAGAGAGACACACACAGAGAGAGAGAGAGAGAGAGACTCACATATACTACCTCTGTTTTTTTATTTGTCGAATTAGGATATGCAAAGGTATTCATGAGACAATGATTGAGCTTTTGATTTTTAAGTGTAATACCTTTCTAAACCCTAATAAAAAAGATCAGGGACTATATAAAAATTAAAAATAGAAGTAAAATATGGATAGTTGTCATCAAAATATATATTTTTTTTTTAAAAAAAAGAAAAGAGACTTAGAGTTATTTTCAGGTTCCAATTAACTTATAAAATTCTCAAGGGCAATCCAGGAGATTTTATAAATTAATCAGTGCTATATGGTACTATTCTCAAGGGCTCTACCCATGAGTTGTCATCAAAATATACATTATTAAAACTAGAGAGAGATAAGGTTGTAATTGAAAAAAATATATTTAATGTTGTATTAAAAATAAAAAAAAATAGATTAGAAAAATAGAAGTAATACATTTTAGCCAATGATTGACTATAATTGAGAGGTAGAGACTCTTACAAAAGGGTCTCTATCAACAAATACTCGATAAACAGAGATTTTCGTAAAAATGTCTCGTGGAAAAAAGGTCTCTGTCAACAACAAACAGAGAGTCATATATATATATATATATATATATATATATTCTCCAATCATACATAGTATTAACAAATAAGAGAGAGAGAGAGAGAGAGAGAGAGAGAGAGAGAGAGAGAGAGAGAGAGAGAGAGAGGGGTGGACGTCATCATATCAAGCTCATAAATAGGGTTTGAATCTATTATGTATGGCAAAGAGAAGTGAAAATCAAAATACCCTTAATGGTAAAAATATCATCACAAACTGAAAAAGTAACTATTGAAAAATGTCATTACCTTCTATTTTAATAGCAATATCAGCAACATAGAGTATTTAAGAAAGAAGAAGATACGAAGAGATGAAGGAACAATATCATTTTCAGTTAGATAGTAACTCAAGGCTTTAGAGTTAAATGGGTTCTAGTGTTCTGTTGTTGTAACAAGTGCTTGACAAACAAAGAACTAACAAGATGTGGCAGTAGTACATATTTAAGTACATAAAATCTCACGAACAATGATATGCTTATATTTTACCTATTTATTATATCCCTAATTTGTGATTTTTGTAATATATTTTGAGTACAAATATGCTATTTATATGATTTTATCTTTAATTGTAGGAATTGTACTCAAATGAAGAATTGTTGAAGTTTTGAGCTAAAATCGAATTAAAAGCAACTCAATGGGAAAGAAAGGAAGATTGGAGCAATTGATGGGGAAGAAATTAATGAGTTTAAAGAATTGGAGGGCCAATGATGCAATTTTAGAATGTTTAATTAAGTTTTTGGAAATTGGCCGAAGGTTATGATGAATGTGCGGCCGATTTGGGATTGGAATTGGATAAGAATTTTAATCCCGATATTAATTGGGAAACAAGTTTTCTTGTTCTTCAAGGAGTAAAGTTTAGCCGGAAACCTATAAAAGGAGGATTAGAGATTTATTTTTACAACAGAACTGGACCGAAAACTGACCGAAACCCTACGGTTAAACACCATCTCCGCCGCTGCAATTTCTCCCTCTCCTCGCCGTCCACCTTCTTTCCTCCTTCACCGGCAGCTTTCTCCTCCACCTTGCTTCCATAACCACCACCTCTCCTCCATCACCACATCACCGAGAAAGCCAGCAGCAGCGGCATTAACAAACTCCTTCACCGGCAGCTTTCTCCTCTCCCTGCCGGCAGCATCATCACCATCGACCGCCATCATCACCGAGCTCACCTTCGAAGCCATCATCCTCACGCGCAGCAACGCCTTCTTCCTCTTCTCCGCCTTCCTGGTCACGCCGCACCACCGAAGCAGCCGAGCACCTCCTTGATCACGCGCAGCAGCCGCGAAGCAAAGCTAGCAAATCCGGGGAGTTTTGGCGGTTCTTTAGGCTTCATTCGGTTTTGAAGTTTTAATTTATTTAATTTATTTTTTTATTATGTCTCTAAATATTATTGAATTATTTTGGATAATGTTTAGTGGCTAAATTCTTTTAATCTAGGGCTTGGGTGTAGCCACCGAATTTATTTGGTTTATTTGGTTCATTACTATTTGATTTTTCTATTAATTAATATTTGTTATTCTTGATTTAATTCGTGTAAGTAATTGGCCACTATTTGCATGTCTGAAGGTATTAATTGAAGTAGCGAGAGTGGAAGATTAATATTAGTTCGTAGGAATAATAAACTTAGGTTATAAGCTACGAGAGTAAGATTATAACCTTTGCAATATTTGATTCTTAATGGTCTTAATGTGCTTTTGTTAATCCCAATAGTCACGAGAGTAGTCATAGGGTTAATCTAAGTAAGAGAATTATAGCACGAGAGTGTATAGTTCTTAATTAGGTGAATCATTGTGAGATTAATGGAAGTTAAAAGTCAGATATTTGTGAATTGAATTATACCAAATATTCGGTAGGTGAACCCAATGTCCTAGGTTTTCTTTGTCTGATTATTTGAATTAATATTATTTGCTTTTATCTTATTTATTTATTTTAGTTTCAATTTTATAAATCTGAGATCATCATTTATCTAGATAATAATAGGAGTAATTTATACCTGGTAATTAGTATTCCTTCTCTGTGGGATCGACCCTACTTTCTGCTTTACTACTAGTAATTGTATTAAGTAGGTAATTATTATTTGACTAGTGTGACGACGGCTTGTCAAATTTGGCGCCGTTGCCGGGGAAGTCAGCTAATATCGAATTTAGATTACTTTCTTTTATTAGTTTAGATTTTTTTTTATTTCATTTATTTTATTGTCTTGCTATTTTAGTGATTTCTTTTAAATATTTTTGTCTTGTTTTTATATGCGAAGTGCTAATTCTGAGACTTTGCAATTTGATCCAGAGATAGAAAGAACAGCTCGTGCGAACAGAAAAGAAGCAAAACTAAGAAAAGAGAAGAATCAGAGTGAAACTATGGGCGACAGAGTAAACACTCGGACACTGAGGGATTACTTTACACCTTCGGAGAATGTTGCTAGGTCAAGTATTACTAGGCCTACCATTGCTGCGAATACCTTTGAGCTCAAGCCAGCATTGATCCAGATGGTGCAGCAGAATCAATTCTCCGGTTTTAACAATGAGGATCCAAATGCGCATATTGATAACTTTTTGGAGATCTGTGATACTGTTAAGATAAATGGTGTGACGTCAGATGCAATCCGGCTGAGACTTTTCCCTTTTTCATTGAGGGGAGAAGCGAAGAATTGGTTGAATACTTGCGATCCTGGTTCCATCACAACTTGGGATGAGCTTTACAAGGAATTCCTGATCAATTTATTCCCACCCCATAAGGCAGTGAAATTGAGAAATCAAATTACTGGGTTTATTCAAGAAGATGATGAGACATTTCATGCTGCATGGACAAGATTCAAGGAATTGCAAAGAAGATATCCTCACCATGGTATTGAGAAAAGTACTCTAGTTCAGACTTTCTATCAAGGATTGACAGACTTTGCAAGAAACAATGTGGATGCTGCAGCTGGAGGTTCATTAATGGATAAGTCAATTGATGATGCCTATGAATTGTTTCAAATTATGGCTAAGAATAGGAATCAATGGTCGAACTCGAGAAGTGTTTCCAAGAAGCCTGCTGGAATGTATGAAGTCAATGAACTAAGTGCCATGAACGCAAAGATAGATGCACTGACCAAGGCGATGGGTAATCTTGTAAATGCTAATGCAGTCTTCCATGCCACTGTCTGTGAGTTCTGTGGAGGTCCTCATTTGAGCTCTGAATGTATGCAAGTGGCAAGTGCACAATATTTCTCTAGTTTCAGCAAGCCTCAGCAGCAGAACAATCCTTACTCCAATACTTACAATCTTGGTTGGCGAAATCATCCAAACTTTTCTTGGAATAATCAAGGGGTTCAAGACTTTAATACAAGACCTCAAAACCCTCCGGGTTTCCAAACAAAGTCATACCAATCCGCGCCTAAGACAGCTACGGAGGAAAGTTTGGAGAGAATGGAGAAATTGTTGAGTGAAAACACTGAACGGTTTAACAGAATAGAAGCAAGGTTAGATCAATTGACTACGGCTCATAGAACCTTGGAGATGCAAGTGAGTCAAATGGCCTCCGCCATGAATACTCGTGGGCAAGGTCAACTGCCAAGCAAGTCTGAAATCAACCCTCGTGAAAATTGTAGTGCTATCATGTTGAGAAGTGGGAAGCAGTTAGGTGACAAGGAGGAACCAAAGACCACTGAAGTGAATGAGACCATTGATGAGAAGAAAGTAGAGAGTAAGCAGATTAATGAAGAAAAAGTGGAGAAAGTGGAACAAGAGGAAGAAAAGATATATGTGCCACCACCGCTTAAA